TCAGAGACGCAACATAGCATTCTCTGGCAGTGGTCTGATCTCCTCTTAGTTCGCCTACGGCCTGCTCTATAGGGAAACGCATCAAGAGGTGATAAGTCGAAGTGATTGCCCTCATCGAGTTTAAGGTAGTTCTTCCAAGGATAACATTGTAAGCAGATGGGCAATCCACTACCAGGAAGTCTACCATAACAATAACTTGTTTCGGGCTGGTTCCTGCAGTGACAGGAAGAATGATCGTTCCCAGAGGGTAGACCTTATCTCCCGTGAATCCCACCAATGGTGATCTAGTAGGTCTGAGTTTCTCCTTACCAATATTCATTTTGCTGAATGCATCAAGGAAAATGATATCAGCCGAACTTCCATTATCCACCAAGATCCGTCGAGTAGTATAATTAGCGATCATCATGGTGACAACGAGAGGGTCGTCATGGGGTTGTTGCACGTCCTTAATATCTTCATCTGAGAATGTGATAACAGGATCACCTAGACGTGGCATTTTTCGGTGTGGATTCTGTATTCCAACTTCGCAAACGTCAGCTGAGTTTCGCATTCTCCTGGCATAGGCCTTACGGGCTGAGCTTGATTCTCCACCACCTGCACATCCCCCAGCTATAACCCTGATTTCTCCCATTGGTTGTTGATCAGGGAGGCGGTTATCTCAGCCTGCTCTTGGTAGATTAACGTCGGTTCTGTCATTCCCCACAAGAAATTTTCGCATGTGCCCCTTTTGGATCAAAGTCTCAATCTGATCCTTGAGGTCGAAGCAATCCTCTGTGGCGTGCCCATGGTTTTTATGGAACCTATAGTACTTATCACGAGGTCTCCTCGTCGGGTCTGACTTTAATTTTGGTGGCCACTTCAGATATGGTTCATCCTGGATCTACAGAAAAACTTGATCTATTGGCATATTTAAAGGAGTGTAATTTGTATATCTCTTCGCGCTCTTATAGCGAGACGCCCTTTCATTCTGGTTGATCATAGGTTTTTTATACTTGGTTTCCTTTTCATCTTTGGTTATCAGAGCCGGCCTTTTCTTGTCTGCCTTCTTATCATCCTCTTCTTTCCCCTTTCTTGCCATCATTGCATCTTCAGCATTTATATGTTTTTTAGCTCGAACCAGTAACTCGGCCATGCTGGTAGGGGGTTCTTCTGATAAAGAGAAGAGAAATCTCGAGGTTTGAAGTCCTCCTATAAAGGCGGCTAAAGCCACCTTGTCATCCGCTTCCTCCACCTGCAACATTTCCGTATTGAAACGACCAATGTAGTCTGGAAGTGACTCTCCTTTCTGCTGCTTTACAGTAAGAAGGTAGGTAGCCGGCCTTCTATGCTTCTAGCTAGCAATGAAGTGTCCCATGAAACGCTTACTCAATTCTTCAAAGGTTTCGATGATCCATGGCTTCAGCTTGTTAAACCACAGTCGTGTTGATCCTTTGAGAGTTGTTGGGAAAGCCTTGCACATGATCTCATCTGGTATCGCATGCAAATGCATTAGCGCTTGAAAAGTCTCCAAGTGGTCGATGGGATCTTTAGTTTCGTCGAAACTCTCAATTGAGGGCATTCTAAATTTGCTCGGCAAAGGGCATTTCATAACCGAGGGGCTGAACGGCAAGTTGGTCTTCTGCACCAAACTATCTATGGTTGCAATACCTTTTCCCTATATGGCCTGCATCACATCCTCCATCTTTGACTTGAGATCTTGAATCTCTGGGTCAATGTGGGAAATCTCCTCTGTTTTTTCAACGACAGTTGTGTTTTCATGAGGTCGGGAAATCTGTGGAAGAGATGGGTGGATCACTTCTTTATGTCGGTTCCCTACTTGGCTTTGTTCCACTTCGGTCTCATGTCGAGGAGGATGATTATCCTGCCCTTCAAGATTCCCATTACCTCTATTCGGGTTTGAGAGATCTTGTCGTGACAAGTTCTGTTGAACCGGTGGAACAAGGTGTTGCAGGATTGTTGCATTTTGCTGGATCAACTGGTCCATACCCTGATTCAGAGTTTGGACCTGTTGTTCCAACGCTGCAAGCCGCTCCTGGTCATTTGGGATGTCTAGGTTTGCACCCGACTCTTCCCTTTGACCAGATCCCTGTAACGATGTTCCTTCGGTGACCATACTGGATCGCAAACGTATCTACCCAACTGAGTATTAATATAAGGGAATTGTCGTTCCCACAAACGGCGCCAATTGTTGAGGCTGAAATTCGCCGCGACCTGGTACGACACCGTTTCCAGCAAAACCAAAATGGTAAAGTCAAACACCGGTGTGGTGCCGGCCGTTGATCCTCCGACGATCAAGTTAGTAGGAGAGAAATAATTTTTTATCGTAATTTCCCTAGTAGGATATCTTTTTGTGTGTACCTTATTCCTGAGTCGTCTTCGTATTTATAGTCACTTCCCTTATTCTTGATAAGGGAATTTCATTGTCCTTAGCCCATGGAGTTTATCCTGTAGAAATCTTATCCTTGATAAAATTTGAACTTACCCTATGACAAATCTTATCATTGATACGATTTGTCATTATTCTCATCCAATAGAAATCGTTATTCTTGATAACGAGATATTATCGCTTGAAAGTTGAAGAGGTTTGGCGGCTAGTCAATACTTAATTACCTCTATCATTAGTTCAAGATAGGTTAGGGTTATTTTTCCTTATCAAGTGGTATTTCTTCTACCTTTCAAAGTAGATGGTGAGAGTTTGAATCTTTAAATAAATGTCTGAGAAATGTGTGTGAGTTTTTTGCCATTGAAAAAAAAAATTACTGTACCAAAACGTCGCCAGTATAATGGTATAATGCCTCTCCTCTAAAAGGAGACATTATTGGAGAGTTGGAGTCCCACTAAAACGTACTGATGATAATAAGTGTGTATACAAAATATAATGGGTGTGCTTATTTGCCTTAATAGAAGGAGCATACCGATCACACACGTGTGTTAGGGGTGACCACAGATCGGATTAAGCTTCAATCCTAATCCTATCCGCTCCCAACGAAGTGGAAAAATCTGAATCCGTCACTGATTCGTTATCCGACGGATCGGATTAGATCGGATCCGTTGAATGGCAAATCAGATTGAATTGGATCCGCGGATTGGGGTTTTTCATAAATAGTTCAAAATTATTTATTTTTTAACCATAACCCAATTGATAAAATTTCAATTTATCATCATTAATTCATATATTTAAATGATCATTAACTATTGCATTCTCCGAGTCCATTAAATGATCATTAACTAATTAAATTAACTAATACATTCTTTGAATATATACATAAATCTCTCAGATCAAAGTCACAGATCGGATCAAATTTTTAACAGCCCAATCCGTAATTCGATCCGTGAGTTACGAATTCGATTTTTTTAAATACGTCACCTATCCGTGGGTGATGAATGGACCAAAATACAATAAATTACATTGATCTCGTTTGACACTAACATATGATAAATTATATTACACACAAGTATTCAGAAAAGTTATTTTGAATGTAAAAAGTTAATAATGTCTTGTATTGTAATAGTATATTACATTGCATTTTATAGAACGAAAAGATAAAATTATCATCTTATAAAATTAGTTAATATCGTTGACACGAAAGAAAAAGCTAGAGGTATAGTTAAACTCGTACATCAAATTACAAAAAAAGTCAAAACAATAAACATCGAATCATTTACTTGTATATAATTCGTCCAAAACCTAAAACAAAAGTCAGTCTAATTTACCCACATAATTTTGAAGGATCAATTATTTCAACCAGACAAGTGAGAATTGACCATAGAGGCTTAGACCCTCCTCACTAAGTGCCACTAGTAACTACAAATAAAAAAAAGCTGAGGCCAGAAATTCAAAAGCCATATGATCAAATTAGGGCAGTGGGGGTGAACAACAACACTATCCGAGTGGGCTCTTCTTTCTCAATTCTCGTCAATCAACCCCCTCTATAACCTTTTACATTCACTTTTTGAGAGGCTAAAAAGGGCCAAAAAAGAGGACAACAGGCACTTATTTTTACAGAGAGGACAGATGTGATGAGACGATCTTTAGGTGAAAATTCAGTATCTGAGGAATCACTAGCTTTTCCTTTCCTTTTGGCAAGTTGTGGCAGTGCAGGGTTGTCTAATCAAGAATAGGCATCTCATAAGGTATTGTTTTAGGTCGGTTGCAGCATTAAATATCCATAACCCAGAAATTCCAGAAATTTAATTCAACCCGATTAAACCCGAACTGTATGGCCCCATTTTGCCCTGAAAACGCTCCCACCATTTCTGTAATCTTTTAGCATATTCTTTTATTTTATTAAATTAAATATTTTTTTGTTTTGCTCCTTCAAAAATTCGAACCTCCATCATTTACTTTCTCCATCATTTACTTTAAAAGGTAAAAAAAATACTATTAAGCCAAAAAGACTTTGATAATTTTTTTTTCTTTTTATTCAATGATATTTTCTCTACTTTTTAAAGTCGTCTATTAAGAAGTCAATAACAAATAACCCTAAGGTGTGTAGCTTTTGTTTGACAAAAATTAAAATTTTAAGTGTTAATTTTAAATTTATTACTTCTTTTACACTTGTTTGAATTTGAAGTGTACAATAATAAATAGTCAGACACTTAATATTTTAAGTGAACTTTAAGGGGTATCTAAATTGCATTACAATACACACACTTAATGAAATAATTACTTAATTTTAAGTGTTAAATTGCCTTATTAATAAATAATGAGTTAATAACAACCTATTGTTCTCATTCTTTAGAAAAGAGTGGAACTCATATCCCGCTAACTTCACTAAACCCTGTCCGATCTGGAGGCCAAAGCCCAGATAGGTGATGGGCCTGGAGTAGTGTTTGCTGGATTTATTGGGCCCTAAAGAATGGATTTATTTATTAGACTAATCAGAAAAAAAACTGAGAATTAATCAATTTCCAAATACAATTGCAGAGAACATCACCAAGGAGTTAAGAAAATTAGATTAAAACCCTATAATAACAAGTATCTAAACCAGTCATACACAAAAAGTTGTGCTCATAAGAATCTCTTCATTCCTCCTTTTATCTACCCATTTGGGGATGAATTTCAGTTCTCAAAATCCAGAAAACAAAATAGAATTGTTCCGGGAAGTCCAAAACCCTCTATTGAACACTTTCTTGAACTAATATCTATTGATAAATGGATTAAAAACACAAACACATACTAAAATTATCAAAGAAACAAGCACCTAAAAAGCAACCAAGCTCATGCGATATCTGATCAGATAGTTAAAGTCTTTTACAAAATAAGTAGACGTAGAAGAAAAAAGATGTTGAACTACTAAATGTGTCCTTCATCTGCTAAAGAAAATTTTATTTATAAGATCAACAGGCAAAGCATATGCCGGATCTATGGCTTTCAATCCCGGATATTCAAGAAGTGAAAGACCTGCGTATTAACCACATGGCAAAGTTCGGAAAATTTAGCATCATTGAAAAATGAGGGAAACCTTACTTTTAAATTCTTAATCAACAACAACAAATCAGAAAAGTAAAGCATGTCAGTGATTGAGACTCTAAACACGGTCGCGACTCGCCAACTGTGTACTCCCCACCCAGGTGGGAAGGGGGTGTTAATGATGGCCCCAAACTACGAAAGAGAAGCCTAGCAGAAATAAGAAGCCCAGAAAATTAATAATTAGGAAAAAAGAGAAGAAGAGAAACCCCGAATCAATCCCCCTTAACATTAAGGAAAATGAAAAAGAAAGAAAAAAATGCAGCTCAGATGGCAGTTTATTCATTAATATCAATATTCCTGACCAAAATTTCCAATATCCAAATCACTAAAACCACACCTACCTAAAAAGAGTGGAAGAGTATGCTACAATGTAGAGTCCACATCTATTTCCAGCTTAATTGCCTAAAATATCTCCCAGTGCAAAGTAGCTTTGAAAATTTCTAAATATATGGAAGGGAGAGTGAACATGCCAATCCAATGACATATTCAGACTAGAGCATTCTCTCAATTGATAAAGAAAAATCATCACATGTAAATGCTAGAAAGAAAGGAAATGAAAAAGGGGGGGAAAACCAACTTTTCAATACCTGCAACACCAAAATATGTATGGAAAACATCAACCACATCATCTGGCCTATCTGAAATTCCTCCATTCTCCTTATCCTACACTTTTTCAAAAATTAAGGTAATATCCAAGGTAGGATCATAAATGTGTCTAAAATAAAATTTCAAAACTAGAAGAACTATAACGTAGTCATTGCCCAAGAAATTTCTAGTAGTAAATTTGCAACTAAAATTGGCTCATTCAGTTTAGATGTAACCTGACAGTCCAAGATAAACCTAACAAGCTTTTGCTTGTCAATCCAATGAACTCTGTCAATCATGATCAAACTTGAAAGAACCCACCATGAATAGCAAACCTGAAGTGATGCAATAGGATCATTAATGAAGACAAGTTACAATAAATTCAAAGGAAAATTCAGTTTGGAAAATTACAAAACAAATTAGGAAGCTACCCTGGATTACAAGAATTTTAAAGAAAATTTCAGTCAAAATTTTTATAACCTACATCAGGAAGTTTCTCAGGGCGCCCATTTAAGCCTCCAGATTTAACTTGTCGCTCACACAACCACCACCCCAGGAGGTCCTTGTCAATATAATGTAGAGAACCAGTAATAGCAAGAGCACCCACACAACAGAAAACTGCAGTCACAACAGTCATACCATAAATGTACTAAATTTTCTTCTTTTTTAGAAATAAACATGTTCAAATAAATGCATAGGCGGAATGATTATTGGCCCAAACATTGCCTTTTCCATAGAAGAAAAAAAGTTAAATTTTTATTAAGTATTAAAAATATACAACCTTGAAGCCAAAAAAAACTCAAAGACAAAACCATGTTTTTGTTGAGTAATAATCAGAAACTAGAAACAAATATGAAAAAAATGCAACATGTAATAAAAGCAACATATGCAACATACTTTGCCCTGCATGAGACTCTGCACCACGTGTGCTTCCAAATCCACCATCCGGATTCTTGCAACTTACAATGTACTTTACAGCCTTTTCCACATTGATTTTATCCAGACGATGTAATAATGAGAGACAACATATTGCAATATAAGAAAACCTAAAGAAATGAAAAGGTTTCTTACAATGTTTTCCCACAAACAGATTGTTAATAAAGAAAAAAAAACACACACACAAAGGATGCCAACATAATGAAGAAGCCACGGGAAAAGAAAACCTTGTATCAATTTCACCCCATATGTCACCTGCAAATGATCCATCTTCATTCTGCAGCCCAGCGATATCTGGCTTAAAGATTAAATATAACAAGAAATGACTTGAAGTTGTAATGTTCTTAAATATGGTTGACTGTTTAAATAGTGACTGTAGCTACTGTTGAAATTTCCCAGGTGGTGCTTTTAAATATATATATATATATATATATATATATATATATATATTCTCCATTTACCTTTCCATATTAAAAAAAATGTATTAAGGCAACAATTTCACTCTACGAGAAGACAATTAAATTGATCATATCCACAAGTTGGCATATTGAATTTTCTTTCAATTAAATCTGGTAATTAAAAATAAAAATTAATTTCACAAGGGTTACTCGAAATGTTGTAAACATGGTTGATAAATAGATTAATAGAACAATTACCAAAAGGCATCTAGACCAATCATATAACCTCCCCATCCTCAAAGAGGAGGGGAGGCGTTCGAGCCCGGGTGTGGGCAAAAAAGTGTGTGAGAGTGTGTTTCTTGCCAAGGTAAAAAAAAAAAACAAAAAGATTTATATAACAATTTAAAAGCCCACCAAACTACCAGCTGAAGGATACATTCTGAAACCTTATCAATGTCAAGTACATTAATCCTGTCAACAAGAGCTAAAACTTGTACAGCACTGAGAGTAAACAATATATGTGGGTCATGTCCAATATTGCCACAAAAACCACCTGCATAAACAAATATATTATCGTGGTTATATGTTTAAATTCAGTAGCATATCAAATTGTTACGGCTTTATTTTCAGCATACAAGAAATTACATAGTAGACCACAGTCTACATTGTGGAACCAATTTTCAGAGAGAAAAACAGGTTGTGATTTGTGCGGCACACATCATCATTCGCTCAGTGAATCTGCACACTGAATAATTTTTAATATAAAATTTTCATATTTTCGGAGAGATAAAATTTAGTAGAATGACAGACCAGATTCATGCTGACATTCCATGACCCATGAAACAACCTCATCAGTATCCACTGTTTCAAGCTTCCCTAAAAGATCGAGAGTGGTCAACCCCCAGTATGCCCCATTCATTCGTAGGTGCTCCATAATTACAGATGCAAAATCATCCTTGCTCTAGAAACAAAATTATCAAAAGCATAAGGGATATGTAGAAACAAGTTGAGTGAGCAACTAAAAATATTGTTCTCAAAAAACTTAAAAGAAAAAAATATGCAAAATCAGAAAATTTTAAGAAATGCTACCTTCTCAGCTGATAAAATGTACTTAACATGCTTTTTGACTGCCAGCTCCTCCATTCTGTCATCCATTGGGAACATTAACTTTAAGATTTTTTACAGTTGAAGAAAGAAAGACATCACAAGGAAGCAGTTAACTTCTCATTCTCCTAATCCTTTTGCATTGTATGGTTCAATTAAAATTGCTTCAACAGAAATGGTGAATTCAATAGGTACAGCCAGAAATTCGAATTGTGAGATAAGAAGTCTTATGTTGGATAAAAAAAGAATTCAAACTGTCATTACTGATTCAAACAAGCCCAAAAAGGTTAAATCCGAGGACATAACCAGACAATAGGGAATGCAATGGATGAAAGAGTTCAATGATCGAAAATTCACCCGATTGAAGGAGTTGAAGCTACCCATGTTCAACTTGCTAGAGAAGGATGATGCTAGTGATGATGAATCCGTTTAAGACTATAATAATGATCATTAGTTTTAGTCTAAATTTGGAACTACAAAGAATCCATCTGTCACGCAACACAGGACTACTCTCAAAAGAGAGGTTTTCAACTTCATATTCTATGAAGCATTTATCAGAACAGTTACCATGCAAAAAGACCAAACAAATTATTAATTTCACAAATTGAAAATTTACATACAAGTACCAACACATCAATGGAAATGTTCACTGAGAAGAAAGAACAACGCATGTGAAGTATTAAATACAAATACAAACAATTGATATTTAATTCACGTAATGATCAAACAATCAGATCAACACGGAAAAATCTTAAAGAGAAGTTTGTGTGTCTGTATATACATACATATATATATATAGAGAGAGAGAGCTTGAATACCTGTTGCAGAGACGCTGGACAGACAAGGTGGAAGAAATCGAGAGAACGGGAAGTTTTAAAAAGTCAGTTTCGTCTACACTAAGAAAAGTAAAAAATATAACAATTGAAGTTAGCAAACGGTGTCCATTTTAATCTTGAATAGAAGTCTAACCAAGGAAATTAGTTTTTGGATGGTTGGTGCTCAAAGAATCCTATTCAGACTAGGGCCAGATTCGTTGCCAAATGACATAAGGTTTATTAATGACGCTATTCCCATTGAAAAATGATTCTTGAGTGAATGATTAGACATATTTTTTTTAATTAGTAATCTATGCAACAAATAAGTAAGTTTGTCCTTCATTTATTTATATTTAAAATAAATAACTAATAAAAAATTATTAGGTTAAAAAATTCACCGTAAGTATCAAGTATTCAGTGTAAGTATAACTACTTATTACTAATTTACTAGTGCAGATGGTAAAAAAAATTTTTGGTGGCAAACGACCCTACATGACTTTGAAGGAAGAGGACTGACTTATGCAGAATAATAAATTTGTTTAGGAGGAAAAAGTTACTTTGAATTCTCAAAGTAAGTATATTTATAATTATTCTATTTTCTTCGTTACATATATTTATAATAAATGAAAACTCTAATTCATAAAGAAACTAATTGAAATATAAAATTTTGTAACATAAAGAAATTTAATGACACTAATGCTCAAAAATAAGTCTAAAAATAAAGTTTCTCAAAGAAAGGTAATCAAATAAAATTGCTAAATATAACATATGAGCGTAGTCCGAGTTCGTTTAGACAAGGCATAAAATTTTTGAAATATTCGACAAGCTTCCTATAGGAAAGAAAATTCCGTTTTGAGGCCCTAAACAATGGTAATTTGCTAAAAAACGACGCATGTCATGGCGTAGCAACGAATCTTGCTTGTTAGGCTATTTCTAGTAAAAAAACTCTCATGATGGGTCAAATGTGGATACTTCAAAATTAGCCCAGAAAATATATCAGCTTGCTCGTCTGGCCCTTGGCGGTTCAAATGGGTCATAAAGGCTTCAACAATCAGGTTCTACATCAATTTTAGCCCCTGCCACTCATGTAAGTGAACACTAGGACCTTGATGTATTATTAAGATATACTGCTAGAAATGCCACAGACTGTTTACATTGGTTTTGCTTGAGACAAGGACCAACTGGTGTATGAAACTTTATTATGTCATTTCATAACTTGTTACATCCTATTATTATATCATTTATGCAATAACTCACATTATTTATGCAACACTTCACATTGTTTATACGAATAATTTAATATCATCATACAATTACATTACAAAGCTTATGTTAAAACCTTTTGATGTATATATTGCACTACCATGCATTGCGTGCACAAACAATCTATACACGCGGCACATGATGAAGGCTCAGAATCCTTTCCACGTTAGGGATCTGGATTGCTGCTGGATTACTTCTCTATCTAGATAATTTGACTTGTGGTGGCTGGAAAAAATCCCAGAAAATGAGCTTTATTACTGATCCAATACTCTGTCATATATAATCTTCATAAACTTGGTTAATTTTATGTATGGCTCATATTGTAAGTGTATAGGAGTTGGGAAGGGTTTGAAAAATGCCACACATCAACCAATTATATAGTTTCTGTTTTATCTAGAAATGTATCCCTTGAAACTGCAAATTTTCAGACAAAGCGAAAATCATTACGCATCATTGGCGCAATTCTCAGGACCAAACTGTAGTTCATTTGCATTGATATCATATACAAACCTTGTCTCCCGTTGCTGCATAGCTCCCATTATGGTGAGTGGATTTCGAGCAATGACACTGGTTGGAGCTCCGGAATCAATCACACAGCCCCCATTTCTGGCTGAAAACGTACCCCCGGAAGCCTCTGAGCTCGCTGGTCAACACTTATATCGATCAAACTCAAGCTCAGGAAGCTATTTCCATTGCGCAAACTGGTACTCTGTCAAGTCCTAGGATTCCAGAGATGGTGTTATTCGCTATACACCCAAAAGGAATGTTTTGGTTGTCATTTGAGCAGACAAAGATCATACCAAAGAGAGAGGCTTGACAAACTCTGTGGACAAATTTAATTTGGACAAAGTTATAGCAAATTCTTGCATTTCATGATGATTTAGGACATGAGATATTTTGAGTCAGATTTGGTGCAAAATCAACATTTAATACAATGATCTGACCAGATTATAAGCTCATAAAGTAGTGCTCTGAACTAAAGTGCTAATAATTAACTGAGTGGTGCCTATTGAGTTATGGACTAGCACATTTACAAATAGTGTTCAAGGCAAAGAAGCATAATAGTGTTACTTAAAGAATTAATGAGAACAACTTTCTCTTATAAAAAGGTGCAACATTCAATCTTTTTTACCAAATTGAACCGAACTGTAGGTGACTGGTTCGGTTCAGTGTTGAATTGAATTTAACGTAACCATATGCACCCCTAATTGCTGACTCTATCGAATTCCCCACCCCCACCCTATTAGATAATTCCGCATATTTAGTACTCATGTATAATCAGGAGGACTTTGAAACAACCACCGATAAGCCCATCACTTAACATTTCCCAAACAAGTATAACTTTTGTGAGATTTGAAACCCTAAAAGCTTGGCAATTGGCCACCAACTTGAAGAATTCATTGCGGGTCAATCAATGGTGGGCACAACTGGCCACCATTTGGATGAGAAAAGCGAACCATGATTCAAAACACAGATTCACTTGACCACTCATTCATTTATGGGCATTTTCGTCATTTACCTCCACGTACTTTTCCAACCACAAATTTGTTTTCTAATCGTCTCAGTCACTCTTCTGGTCAGATTGGCCAAAGTACCCTAGGTATTTCACAAATAGATGGTCAAAATCCAAGGTCAATTTTGTGAAATAAACTATTATACGTTGTCTTCCATTACTTTTTGAAAACAATAGTATCAGGCAATTGTAATGCCTCGTGGGTGGCGGGCAAATCCGTCTGTATGTGGCCCCACCGCAAAAAAGAAAAGGTCGCAGGTCTCAACCCTCTTGGTGGTCCCCACTTCCCACCACCACCTCCTACCCGACTTTTCTCTCTCGTTTCCGTGGAAGACCAACCGAATGAGAAGAGAGAAAAGAGAGGGGAGTTGAAGCCTGGATGGGAATCATCCGTCTGCCTCGCACGTGCTTATGGTCTGTTTGGTAGCAATGATAGCAAAAAGAAAAGATAAACCGAATTCTTTGGGAGCGTTTGGAAATTAAGTTTGGGCAGAACCAAACACGTCACAGTCTCAAAACTGGTGTTTAGGACGCGCTTGGCCCAACTAAAACTAAAAGCAACAGCTGACACGTGCAAAGTTGTGGGTGTCACGTGAAAGACAGGACTCGAGTCCACGTCATCACATGCAGCCCATAGCGCCACCTCTATTCTTCCCGCCATCGTGAAGTGGACGACACCCATTGGCCCTCAGCCACGTGCGCCGAACTTCTCACACGTGCCATGTTTGCCTGCCCTTGTTCATTGGATAATACATACGTATGTATATAATGCCAGTAGCTTTATAGAAAAGAGAGAGAGAAACGGTTATGGAGCGAGGGTCTGACCTTCGCCGAGTGGCATGCTAACATCACCACCGTGTCAGCTACTCACGCGACTATCATATCTTAACTAGTAGGTCTGCGATTTCGCTGCTTTAATTTTCTCTCTCAGTTTTCTCCTTGGACCACTCGCCGTTAACGTCCTTTTTTTTCCCGGTGACCTCCTAAATATCTTGACTGATCTTAACCTTTGTTCCAAGATTGATCCGATCAATCTCTACCTTTCAGATTATTATCAATTTCCTATATATATATATTTTTTTTTTTAATTTTCAGAATTTTTAATCAACTTGATCGCATTTTGACTCGCTGAATTCAGATCTCGTTTCTGCTCTTGGTTGATTTTTTTTTCTTCTTCCTGTAATTGGTGTTGTTTTGATCCGATACTGTTTATTTTCTGTTTTATTTATTTATTTATTTGTTTGTTTCAGATCAGTTTGATTTTTTGCATGTATTTGAGCAATTTTAGTTCAAATTTCTTCCAAAATCAGAGTGGAAGCAAATTTACTTTGATAATTTAAATCTTTTGATTTTTAGATTTTCTTAAAATCTTTTCCTGATAGAGAGATTTATATATACACACATATACATATATCTATAGAGAGAAAGGGGCTGAAACTTGAAAGGGAGATATGACGTCGGGGACGAGGTTGCCGACATGGAAGGAGAGGGAGAACAACAAGAGGAGAGAGAGGAGGAGGCGAGCAATTGCAGCGAAGATCTTCGCTGGTCTTCGGATGTACGGCAACTACAAACTGCCCAAGCACTGCGACAACAACGAGGTCCTCAAAGCTCTCTGCAACGAGGCCGGTTGGACCGTCGAACCCGACGGCACCACCTACCGTAAGGTACAGACTCACAAAACTCTATCCTCTATGAGATCACTTCTTTGAAATCGTTCGTCTTCCTTGAAATTTATGCTTGATTTGAGGTTTGCTCTCCCGGCGCATTTTAGCACCGCGCGATTATGCTTGACCAGTAAGTCGCCCCCGAACTTGAGTTGTTTCAGTTGAAACTCCGGAGCTCATTTGGCGCATTTTAGTAGTTGTTGCGAATGTCATGATTAGTCTAGTGCTCAATTTAACCGTTGGTTCAAATGTTGTGACTGTTGTGGCGCATTTTAGCAGTTCTCCTAACGTGCGCGGGATCCAAGTCGCGCATGTTAGCACCACCACTTTGGAGTGTAGTACTCCCGTATGAAGTAAGAAGTGTTTGTCTGTTAGGTTTTTATGGGTCAGAAGGTTTAGATTCTGAATTTTGCGTTCCTTTTTCATCACCAGTGTACGTTAGATCAGATCGGGACTGCAAAATTGCGCTAAGCTCCTTTTCTTCTTTTCCTTTTTTGCTTTCCTCGCGGAGTGAAATACAAGATTCCTTTTAAAGCTCTCGAATTGAGAGACTTGAAACTACACATGCACAGAGAGAAGACAACAATGGCCCTGTTGAGTTGTTGATTCACCAAAATGTATTCTTAAATTCCCACTTGGATCCTGAAAAGCTACAGCCGCGAGGGGTAGTTTCGGCATCTCATGGCTTCTTTCTCTTACCCAGTGTCGTGCAACATCAGTCTTTGCTTTGTTTATTGCAACAGTCTACAACCCTTTTCCAGTTCTGTTTAGTTCTCTCTGTGTGTGAAATTTGTTCTTTTAAAATAAGATATTTCCGAATGAGTTCTTTAATGATTTTTCATTCATGTCATTGCATTTTAAACAAGTACAGCTTAACGTTATATAAAATGAAAATTTGTAACTTAATGTCATATAGAATGCAACTTAAATATTTTCTCAAGTTCCAGGGAAAGAAAAAAAAAAAGTTAAATAGTTTCTCAAGTTATTTTGATAACAATTATATACTAAGACAATTTTTATAATTTTTTTTGCTTGCAGTTATGGTAAATTGAAGATAAAGTATTATATTGATTAGAGGCTCCTAAATCCAGTACTAAATTTGAAACCATAAATTGCTACTTTGGCAAATCACTTCTGCCCAAGGAAGAAGTTAATCCAGCTGGGTGCTGGATCATTTAAATGGTCCTGTTTTTCTGTTTAGGTGAAAAGAGTCAAAACCAGTGTATTGTGTAGTATTTAAAGGTACTATACTATACAATTACCCTGCTATTGAATGGAAAGATTCAGCTCTCCAATAGTACTGCTGTGTTCAGCAAAACTTGCAGAAATGACCAAATAACTTTTATTGCTAATAAGAACTTGGTCCTTGTTTTTTTCCTGATGGGTGTGCATTAGTGCAGGTGACAGAGTTACAGGACCAGTGTATAGTGTCAAAAATGTTTTATTTTACACTATAGTACACAAATACCCTGCTATTAAATGGAAAGATTCAGCTCTCCAATTTTACTTTTTTGAAAAGAAACTTTGCAAATATAACCAGATTACTTTTATTACTGATAGGACCTGCTTTTATCTTGGATTTTTATATGTTGTGGCTCAAATCAGATTGTAGACACGGAGACAGATTTATATATGATATGATACAGACACAATGACAAGATAAATCTTAAAAAAGTAGGACCAAACACCGAGAGGAAAGGGTAATAGTTGTATAAAAATTGCAATTATTTTTTTTCATAATTTAAAAAAAGAATTGCAATTAATATTTATATACTGCACTTGTATTAAACCAAAGAAAAAAGTTCATTTTAATTGTAATGTTGAAGATGAAGACAACTACCATAAAGATCATCATATTATATATAACTCCACTAACTAGCTTTCTATCTTTAAAATTAGCTTGATTATGTTGGGCACATTACAATGTCAAATTCATAAGATTGGTCAACTATGATTCCTAGATACGCTGAGAATGCTCGAAATAAAGAAATTTATTTTTGAAACACTAGCTTTTCGACAAGGTCGGACAAATGTCTTGAAGTATCTGAATTTTTGTGTTAGACGCATCTGACATGCACACGGCACCTTTGTTAAACTGTCTCTGTGCATCTTAGGGATGCTTTATCATGATTGCATTAGCAATACGTTAGCTACTAGAATTAGGACAATAGCTCACCAATAGACCAAATGAGATGGATAAGCGATGCTCAATGGGCATAATTTTAGAATTTTAAATAATGGAGTTAATATGTAGTATAATTTATGGTATTTGGGGATGATTTGTCCAGACATAATGGGAGAAAGTAACTTTGTTTGTATTCTTAAATATTTAATTTGTCTTGTAATTCACATTCTTAGCTGAATATATTGTGAATTTGTGATAGATGCAAATCCCTATAATTTTGTCCGGCAAAAATATTACCCGTGTTGTATTGTAATTGCATAAACACACATGATGCCAACTCTAGAACCTGGATTCTTCATCTCATCTTGTCTTGGGAGATGGATTTTTTTCTAGTCTATTATTGCATCCAATAGTCAAGAAACAGTCAAATACCCAGCGGTCTATTAATTATCAAGTATTGGAGCTGATCACTTGGGAATAATAAGATTGATGGCCAAAGTGTTGCCTCAAGCTTATTGCTGGGTAGAGAGAGGTTGAATATGCTATTATCCAGAGGATTAAAGAGTTAATGCATTCCACATACACAATATTAGAGAAGGGAAAAAAAGAAGTAGAAGATCTTGACAGACTCTGAAATTAGCAGACATCATATAGCAACCTGGATCAAACACTGCATATTTGTTAGGGTCCTAGATACGAGCAGAGTGGAGAAATGACATCCTTATGGGAATGTAAACAGGCAAATGGGGTTATATGATTAAAGAAGCCCTACTTGAGGTTAGTTGTCTATATCCAGAACGATATGTGAGTACGTTGGTAAGAAGATACAAGCCATTTTATTTTTATTTTTATTTTTTATCCTTGTTAGTTGCAAACCTTTACAATGGCACAAAATGAAATATCTAGTAACAGGAGGTTTAAACCTTTTCCGTTTGACATCATACACCCGATTCTGAGTGATGAAATTCCAGAACAAGGAGTTCGTTATTGATTCCTAAATGAAACAGGGTAAAAGAGGTATCAGTCTCAAAATAATGTTCTTTGTCTGGCAACAAATTAGGAATTAATTACAATGGAAGTGTCCTTTCTGCATAGGTGGAAGCACTTGGGCTTATGCGGGTGATACTAAAGTAAAAGTTATGGTTCTCTTGTCTGATAAATTTTCTAAGCTGGGTGCTGCATCTGGAGCTTTTGTCATTGCCTGATATAAATGGCAATCGGATATTAGGTCATCCTTTAAACCCTCTGCATGCTTTTACATGTCTCTAATCATCTTCGGTGTCTGCAGGGATGCAAGCCGTTTGAACGCATGGACATTGTGGGTGGATCTGCATCAGCAAGCCCATGCTCATCATATCAACCAAGCACTTGCACTTCCTTCAATCCAAGCCCAGCCTCTACTTCCTTCCCAAGCCCTACCTCATCCTCTTATGTTGCTAACGCTAATGCAGACGGTAGTTCTCTCATCCCATGGCTCAAAAGTTTCTCGTCTGCATCCTCATCGGCCTCCTTCTCCAAGCTTCCTTATCTCTACAGCAATGGTGGCTCTATAAGTGCTCCTGTCACTCCTCCACTGAGCTCCCCAACTGCCCGAACCCCTCGAATCAGAAGTGACTGGGATGACTCTTCTGCTCGCCCAGTCTGGGCTGGGCCTCAGTACCCATTCCTTCCATCTTCCACCCCACCAAGCCCTGGCCGTCTGATCCTTCCAGATTCAGAGTGGTTTGCTGGTATTCAAATCCCCCAAAGCGGGCCAACTTCTCCAACATTCAGTCTCGTCTCTTCAAACCCATTTGGCTTCAAGGAAGAGGCTCTATCAGGTGGTGGTTCTCGCATGTGGACTCCAGGGCAGAGTGGGACTTGCTCTCCTGCTATTGCACCAGGCTCTGATCATACTGCTGATGTTCCGATGTCTCAAGTAATTTCTGATGAGTTTGCTTTCGGAAGCAATACAGCAGGGCTAGTAAAGCCATGGGAAGGAGAAAGGATTCACGAGGAATGTGTCTCAGATGATCTCGAGCTTACTCTTGGGAGCTCAAGGACCAGGTGTGTTGGCGTGGATATGTAATTGGATAGGTCCATGAGTTCCATACATTTGTTCGTTTACTTATATTACTTGATCTGTATTGTATTGCAGATAGAGGAATCCACAAGGGAGAAGGTCAATGGTTATGTGACGTGAAGTTTTAGTCCGTTGATGATGTTCAAGAGCTCCCATGGAAAGAATAGAAAATGGATGAAGACGACACTCTGCTTCCCTCTGTTATTTTTTTTTTTTCTTCCTTTAAAATTATGTATAGCTCTTCAAAGGTTGAAGTGGTTTTGCAACCCTTTATTTGATCATTTCTTCTTCTAGTTTAGATATTTGTGAAAGCTCTGAGATACAGGAAGGATTGGTTGTCACTGAGTTCTGGTTTGCCTTTTGAAAGCAATGTTATTAGATTTAAAGTTTGCCCCAAAAAGAAAAAAAGAAAAAAAAAAGTGATTTAAAGTGAAATAGAGAATGTATTTCAGTGGTTAAGCATTCTGTTGAAATTAGATATAGTGAACTTCTTGGCCGTGTTCATATATATTTTTGGTACTAAGAACATTTTCTTAAGAGTCATGACAGACTGTGAATTCGGAGAGAATATAAACCATGCTAATATGAAGACCATCATTTGATTACTTCTGAGGATCATCACTGACAAACATACTGGGATTATCTTGTGAGAAATAAAAAGAAAATAAAATATGGTGTTCATCCTTGTGAAGTTGTGTTCAGATAACAAAGATAAAAATTATCTAATTTTTATTTTTTCAGGCATAATTAGATTATCTTGGTATATATTTACAATGTATCTAATATTTAGGAAAGAAAAAAATTGAATGAAAATGAAGAGAACTGAGAAAAAGGGAAGAATAAGACAAATAGGAAAGAAAAAAATTGAATGAAAATGAAGAGAAGTGAGAAAAAGGGAAGAATAAGACAAATAGGAAAGAAACCTATAGGGAAGAGATTGTATTTTTTTTATTGTTCCGTTGAAGAAGTTTTAAATTATTTTTATCATTTTGTCATGGAAGGAGAGTACTATAATTTAAAATTTGTTTAATTTAAGATAATATTTAATTTAAAATTGTTATAATAGTTCAATTTTCTACCATCAAAATTTATAAAGAATAAAAGATGTCCTCCTATTATCTTTTATTTTCTTTAAGTATATGTTAATTAACTGTCCATTTGATGACATTTACCGCACCATGTACAATACATCTACAGGGGGTGTCCAAGTCACGTGAGGTCCACAGGTTGGGAGCTGACCCACCCGAGTCACTTTCCGCTAAAATGAAATTTCTATCCTCATCAAACCACTAGACATTACTACCGACGTGGCACACCTAAAACTGCGTGCGCGTTACGCACCCCCCTTCGTTGTCGCACTGCAGAACCTCTCTCTCCCTACACTCTTTTTTTGAGTCTTTGCGTTGTTTCAGTTCTTATCCTGAGTTGCAGCAAGTCAGAATCTGACAAGCCCTAATTCCAAAGTTCGATCCTATCATCTCTCTTATTTCTTTCTCAATAGAAACCGTCTCTTGAAATTTGATTTTTCTTCCACAAAACCCTAGTTATAGTTACCTCGATTGTCTCATCTGCGTCTCATCTTCTCAAATCAAAACCCTAGTTCATATTTCCCGAGCTTCGAATATCAAAATCAAAATTCATACCCTCTGATCTTCGAGAATTGAATCAACAAAATCCGTGGTTTTACAGGATTTGGAAATCAGAAGCGCAATAGTTGCAATCTTTTAGATTTGGAAGTCAAAGCTCCGTGTTGACGGATTCTCCATCTCGGTTGTATTTGGGACGGCGATTAGATGTTAACTCGTATTTGAATTTCAATTCGACTACGTATACGGTAAAATTTGGGCCTCTTGCCTCTTTATCTTTGAGTTGTTTTGTTTGATAGATGATTCAAATCTTGCAACTCTTCTGGCATGTTTGTCCTCATCATTTCATTCATTGACAAATTATTCATAGTTGAGTGTTGATAGTTTTGATAGTTTTAATAGTTTACGTTATTACAAAAATGTCGGTGGAGAGATCATTTGAAGCATGGGAAGAGGTTCAGAGGCATGGCCAAGATTTAGCCGACAGGCTTGCTCAGGGTTTTACCGGATTAATTCATTCTCACATTAATCCTCCATCATTTTCATGGCCGAATCCCCAAAAGGGAATGTTTTTTGATGTCGACTTCCCGAGCCAGAGTTTGGCAAAAGGGGATTTTGGGCGTGTAACTCATAATTCTGGAATCAATGGGGTTTCGGCAATTTTTGATATCGGGAACAGGTTAGGGCAAGCTGGGGCGGACTTTGGAGCTTCTTTGAATGGTGTGGTTCAGCAGTTTTTCAGGAGATTGCCGGTACCCTTTCGGCAAGATGAGAATTCAGTTGCATCACTGCGGACAGAGCTGAATAGCCAAAGAACGAATATGGGTATAACCATGCAGGAGGATTTGGGATCCCTTGCGGAGAGTTTTAGGGATTCTGGGTTTGCTGAAAATGATACGGTTTCAAATGGGTCTATGGATGAGGAGATTCCGGGTTTCAATTTAAAAACATCAGGCCATTTTGGTAGACCACAGGTAAAATTTACCATCCCGTGTGAATGATTTTATTTGTATACCTTCGAGTAGAGATGCTATTGACATGTTTGTTCTGAAACTATATATCAGAACTGCAATTACGCTGTTGTATATGATTTGTTAGATTAAAAACATTATTTTGTTGCTATAAAAGTGAATTTTGGCGAACAAAAAAATTGCATATGTAAATGCTAAGACAAAGAAAGTAGATTGTTTTGTGCTTTCAGTGATGTAGTTGGATACAAAACTGAACTACTTTATTGCATTTTTTTTTTTTTTTTTTCTTTTTGAACCTCAACCTCCTTTTTTAAATAAAGGAAATGATATATAAGTGACCGTTGGAGGCCTAAATTTTTAACTGAATTAGGGGATGAGAGAAGTAAAAGGAAAAAATGGCATCATGTGAACCCACAATTATCAAGTGGTTGTGTTTGAGTCGATTTGTATAGTCAGCTTGTATATCATTACTCTTCATAAAGTTGGATCTTCCGTGAAGTTATGACATTACCTGACATGCAGTTTAGGGTGCAATTGAGTCTGGGATGGGCTTTTTAACATTAAACTTTAGTCAAGGAGTTTAGGGTAGGAGTGCAGATCTGAGCCTCGAACTGGTCAACCCTATTGAATGTTGACTTTATTAAATTGGCCTCAACTTGCTCTAAAAATATAACTATACCTTGGTTTTGGCCTGGTAAAGGGTGACATGAAGGGAAGTATTTCTTTAATCATTTTACAGTTAGATCAACAATAAGATTACCTTTATGGATTTAAAAAATGGGCTTATACACATTTAATTGTTAATAATAAGGGGTGGAAGATATCCAACTTGAAAGAACTGATTTACATAGGATATTCCTAAATTAAGTTATGATTGAAATGTTCCGTGGTCCTGTAGCATACTTCCTTTTCTTTATCCAGTCTAAACTTGATTTCACTTTTCAATTTTTTACAATTAATGCTGAATGATTATGTTTTTATTTGGCATGCAACATTTAGAGGATCGATGGAGTTTCATGATTACCTTTGAGTTATATTCTGAACGTGTAGTAATGGAATCATTTCCTTTATCCATAAGTGTTGAAAAGCTTCTGACCACGATTGAGATATTTGATAAATGTTCAGGAGGATCTGTCCTAATGTAAGCTCTCATTTTGATGATTTCATCTTGTTAATTAGTGTCTTTTTGTGGGTGGACCTTTTCATTGAGACTGGACGTTTATCTAGGATGATATAGCATATCATGTTTTATTAATTATATTCTCTCCTTTTATGCCATGACGACACATTGACACTCTTGCTTTTTGTTTGGTGGTATGCTTATAAGCGGAGTTAAGAGACAAACTTGATGTTTTGCTTTCTATCTAGAATGTATTATGTGGATTGAAACTCTAAACTAACATATTTGAATCTCTGTCTCTCCTTAATTGAGTTGTGGTCAATAAGATCTTCTTAATGATGTGATGATGTGATACTAGATAGAGAATATTATTATTATTATTTAAAAAGGCGTTGTAGCTTGCTTGCATTCTTTCCGTTATCATCATCATTAAGTATTTTGAGAACAGCTTGCTGATTATAGTTTATATATTGGTGAACTTGTCTGTCTGATTTCATTTAGTTCTATTGTTGTTGTTGTTATTGTTTGAATGATGGCTGATTTTTTAATTTTATTTTTTCCTTTCGAATGCAGGGTACCATTAATGTTACATCAACGTATGACAGTAGAACACGTGATGTGGAAAGTTCTTTGGTTGCAAGGGGAGACTTATGGAGAGTAGAGGCGTCGCATGGTAGTTCTACCTCTGGAAATGAGAATTCATCCGTCTTCCTTGTCCAGCTAGGACCATTACTTTTTGTTCGTGATTCAACACTTCTTTTGCCAGTCCATCTATCAAAGCAGCACTTACTTTGGTATGGTTATGATCGAAAGGTATTTCCAATCTCCAACTGCGCTACAAGTATATAATCGGAATGAAAATAGATTGTTAATGGATATTGTTATATGTTTATTTCTGCCTCTTGTTTGTTCATATTGATATGACATTGCTTTAGTGGTTCTTTAAGCATGTCTTATTATTATTTTTTTTGGGTAAGTTTTTAGCATGTTTACTAATTGATGTGTATGGTTCTTTGTTATGATGTACTTAAATTTTGTATTGATAAATTGCCAGAATGGAATGCATTCTCTTTGTCCAGCGGTGTGGTCAAAGCACAGAAGGTGGCTGTTGATGTCAATGATCTGTCTCAATCCTTTGGCATGTGTAAGTTTGAAATTAAATTTGTGATTTCTGGTGCTTCCTTTCAGCGGTAGGATTTGGTTTGGTCCCCCCCCCTTCTCTCTTTCCCCAGTTTCACTGATTAGTTTATATAGCATTTTCTACTTGATCTTATCTGAACACACTAGCATTGAGAGGTGAGCGCAAAATTGATAGTATAGTCTCGCAGTATAAACAGTTACGAAATAAATAGGAAATGGTGATGTCTGATGCCTGTCCTAGATAATACAAGTCTTGCGATTATATAATTCTTCAATGTTCGGCAAGGTGCTCTTTCCTATGTAACGAATATGAAAGAATACCCAAATGGAATAAGGAGAGAGGGATGGTACTTTGCAAGGATTAGGAAAAAATTGCCTTCAGCAATGGGAACCTTTGGTGCCTCAAAGAGGAGAGTTCATTAGTTCACAAAGGTGTATTGTTCCCATCAAAGAACAATATCAACTATTCACTAATTCCTCTGTCTGTGTTTTTGAGTTGGTGTTCATTTCTCTCTGTGTGCGCATGCCCCGAGCTTAGTTGGTAATTTTTGGCCTTCGCTTGTTTTGAACTTTTTGAGTCCCTATGAACTTGTTGCAATTTAAGCATGTGGTTAAATTTACACCCATTTCCATAAATGTCAAGGTTCAAGACTTGAATCACCGTATTGTGCTGAAAATGGAAGAAAGGAAGAGAAGGAGAGGGGGGCTGAATGTTAGATGGCTATATACTTAGTTTCACTTCTTTAGTTTCATTTTTCATAGTTCTTGTGAATTTTGTTTGACCTGATAATTGATCCTTCCATTTTGTTAAAGCATCATCTGCTACAACCAAATTTTTATTTTAAATAATTAATATCAATTTTTTATTTTTCTATTTTGTGGTGGATTGGCTTACTTTTCCCCTCCCTTTGCAGTCATTCATGGATTTGCAGTTTCCAAATGGCCAGTTCACCTACGTATCTGGTGAGGGCCTGTCAACCAGTGCTTTCCTACCCTTTTGTGGGGGTCTCCTTCAAGCTCAGGGTCAATATCCAGGGGAGATGAGGTTCAGTTTCTCTTGCAAGGTGAGCTTTGGAATTGCAAGACGTCATAACAATATAAATCTGATTGAATCCGTTCATATTTTGGATGGACCAGAAATTGTCTAGTTATCTAGTCCATATATGGGAACTGAATTTTAATATTCAACTCTCTTTTCAGAATAAGTGGGGAACTCGCGTCACACCAACAGTACAATGGCCTGATAAATCATTTACAATGGATCTTGCACAAGCTTTAGCCTGGAAGAGATCTGGTCTCATGGTGAGGCCAACCATCCAATTCAGGTGAATGTGCTTTCTTGGTCCTTCTTTGAGTTAAATGTAGTGTATGGCCTTTAGTGGGAGCGGCAATTAATACACAGATGAAATGGATTTTGATTCCTAGTTATATTTTTTTTCCTGGCAAAGAGAAATTGATGATTCCTAGTTATTACAAGATGTTGTTAATTTGTGGTTTATTTATTCTGCTTCCTTTCTGTTTCTACATGTTTTATAACTTCTATACATGTTTTTGTACCCTGGTCAGTGTATGCCCTACCTTTGGTGGAAGCAACCCTGGGTTGCGAGCTGAACTTATAAATACTGTGAAGGAGGAGCTGAGTCTGATCTGTGGTTGTGCGCTTGTGACACATCCTACTGCATTTGCATCAGTATCTGTAAGTGAAATTGAGTTAAAATTTGTGCCTTTTCATTGTCTTAAGTGCTTATGTTGAGTATTGATACTCTGCTGGCTGGTTGAGACCTACATCTCAAAGCTGGGATCCAGTTATACTACTAGCTTTTCCGTCCACTAATTCATTGGGAGTAATGTGAAAACGTGGATTAACTTGTTCTAGAAAGCAGGTTTGATTATAATGATTTTGGCTTTCTAGTACCCAAGGAAATGCTGGGTGCTGTTGGGTAGCAGAAGCGCACGAACATGGAGATCCAACAAAAGACAAATAAAGCAATCACAAAATAAACACAAGATTTATGTAGTTCGGCCAAAATCTACATTCACGGATGAGGAGTTCTATAACTGATGTAAAGATATTACAACAGTACAGAATACCCAACACCAGACCATGTGCACAAACCCATGCACTCCATTAGACTCCCTCTCACCATCAGTTCTCTCCACTCTACCAAACCCGTAAACTGCCTCTACCCATTAACTCCCTTGTGAGGCTACCACCCTCCACTATAGAATTAGGGTTACATCTCTCAATCTCATAAATCATAACCCATAACCTAGGTATATATTTGTAGAGTCCAAAACTCAATTCCTTGTTGGACAAGGATTACAATTCCATGGAGCCCAAAACTTGTTTAACAAGAAATTACCTAATAAAATACAATTCCAAAATAGAAGAAACCTAATTAGACTAGAATTTGAGAGACAATACATAATAGGTGTTGCTCTTATGAACGTCAACCTGCTCTTTGTATATGATACCCTAGGGTCGAAGATAAATATGCAAGATACCACTGTCTAATTGTCTTGAGAAACTCCTACTTGGGCAACTCTTATTTTTCATGGTTTATTAGCTAAATGATAAAAGCATCGGTTTAACTGAAATATAATGTAAAAGTTAGAAATTTCCCTTACTAAAATGGATTCTATGTGTGTCACACTGGTACTTAATTCTTTGTAGTACTTCATTTTGTTTTGTGGTTGAATAAATATTGTAATTAATGAAATTATCAGTGCCCCGAAAACTCATGGTGAAAGAATTTTTTTGATCCCTTGACATCACCCTCAGATATAATTTATAGTGTCACAACATGGCATTTTTTTTTTTGGTTATATTTGTTACATGAGATGTGATTGCATATGAACAGAATTATATATTTATATGCTGTGTTACATGCCCCCAAAAGTAGGTGAAGTATCCGTGTTTGACACAATTCTCGGACTTGGGTATGGAATATTTGTCCAACTTTGAAATGTCTACAATGAAACACTAAAGCCCGTTGCTTTGATGATCATGATAACTCGATGGATCGCACGGCCTTCGTGCCAGCGACGCATCATTCAAATTTCTGCCCTATCAACTTTCGATGGTAGGATAGTGGTCTACTATGTAGGGTTCGATTCCGGAGAGGGAGCTTGAGAAACGGCTACCACATAAGGCAGCAGGCGCGCAAATTACCCAATCCTGACACGGGGAGGTAGTGACAATAAATAACAATACCGGGCTCATTGAGTCTTGTAATTGTAATGAGTACAATCTAAATCCCCTAACAAGGATCCATTGGAGGCATAGTTGTTAAAGGCTCAAGGGGCACAAAAGCAAAAAGGCCTCCCGGAGCCTAAGGCGCAAGGCGAGGCGCACACCCGACTGAAGCAAGGCGCACGTTGAAAAAAAAAAAAAAACCACCCAATAAATGAAATTTTGACAAACTTAGGTACTAATACTTAAAGAAACATCACAAATTCAATTAGGCAATAAAATATATCCCAAATTCAAGTAATTTCACATAAAGAAGTAGAATTTCAACTAAACGATGATTTCAAACCGACCAGAAATGAAAATTGAAACCAAAACACTACTTGGATTAACAAATCTGTAAGTTGGAAAAATAAATTTTAAATGCCAAACTCAAAAAGTTCTGCCAAAGAAGAAGAAGAAGAGAGAGAAAAGAAGAGAGAAGAATTTTGCCAAAGAAAAGAGAAGAAGAAGAAGAGAAAAAAAGAGAGAAAAGAAGAGAGAAGAAGAAGAGAACAGTGAGAACTTACTTGGATTCATGAGAGAGCAGTCGGCAGATTCTCTTTGCTTCAAATCGCAAGCCCTAGCCCTCTGTCTTTTTCTTTGCTTCAAATCACTTTCCTTTTGTTTTTCCTTATATTTGATTCTTTTTCGTTTTGTAAAGTTGTCTAAAACAGTAATAATAAACAAATAACGAGTAATAAAAAAATAACAAATAACAAATAAAAGGACAAGGTTCAAGAAGGTGGCGCCTCGGCTCTTTTAACAACTATGATCGGAGAGCAAGTCTGGTGCTAGCAGGCGCGGTAATTCTAGGTCCAATAGCGTATATTTAAGTTGTTGCAGTTAAAAAGTTTGTAGTTGGACCTTGGGTTGGGCCGACCGGTCCGCCTTCCGTGTGCATCGGTCGTCTCGTCCCTTCTGTCGACAATGGGCTCTTGGCCTTAACTGGCCGGGTCGTGCTTCTAGCGTTGTTAGAGTGCTCAAAGCAAGCCTACGCTCTATATACATTAGCATGGGATAACATCATAGGATTTCGGTCTTATTACGTTGGTCTTCGAGATCGGAGTAATGATTAACAGGGACAGTGGGGGCATTCGTATTTCATAGTCAGAGGTAAAATTCTTGAATTTATGAAAGACGAACAATTGCGAAAACGTTTGTCAAGGATGTTTTCATTAATCAAGAACGAATGTTGGGGGCTCGAAGATGATTGGATACCGTCCTAGTCTCAACCATAAATGATGCCGACCAGGGATTAGCGGATGTTGCTTTTAGGACTCCTCTAGCACCTTCTGAGAAATCAAAGTTTTTGGGTTCTGGGGGGAGTATTGTTGCAAGGCTGAAACTTAAAGGAATTGTCGGAAGGGCACCACTAGGAGTGGAGCCTGCGGCTTAATTTGACTCAACACGGGAAAACTTACCAGGTCCAGACATAGTAAGGATTGACAGATTGAGATCTCTTTCCTGATTCTTTGGGTGGTGCTGCATGGTTGTTCTTCGTTGGTGGAGCGATTTGTTTGGTTAATTCCGTTAACGAATGAGACCCACACTAGATATGCATTATTTTACTCTATGGGTGGTGGTGCATGGCCGTTCTTATTTGGTGGAGCGATTTGTCTGGATAATTCTGTTACATGAAAGTATTATTTTACTCTAAAAATAAAAATAATATTAAATAATATGAATATTTAGCTGTCTCTCTGTTTGGGATTTGACAATTCTGATGCTTTGGATACATACCCACACTAGATACGCAAACCTGCATGTAACATAATTTATATATATTTTATTACTTTATATTTGCGCCTTCATAGTTAGTGTGTAATATTTTTTTATTTTTTTGGGGCATGTTTGAGTTATTTGAGATCCATTTCTTAATGCATAAGCATAACGACCTATATATGTAGTTACTCTAAAAATTTTGTACGTGAAAGGAGAGCGCTACATACTACATTTTGTAGGCTATATGTGTTTGCCTTTTTTTGTTGATTCCTCTGTGTGAGTGTGTTTCTTATTCAGGGGTCTATTTGTGTCTCTAAAGCTCACTCTTATCCACGAAAAGAGAAACACGTGCATATTCTGCACTAGCCTCAGTTGGCAGAGCAACTAATATATAGAATATTATAGAAGACGTGTTGTTTGTGTCAGAGCAGAAATAATCAGCAACAGACGGCTTTTAACAAGTCTTCCCTAGCGTATTACATGCATAGTCTGGGATGAATTGAAAATAGGTGATAAAAATATTCGTTAGGCCCCGGGTGAAAGTGAAACAATAGTGGTAAAAGTGGCTGCCTCCCTTAACTAATGAACACATCAAATGGCACAAACTGCGTATATAGTAATACTGCTTGGTTTGTATTGTGTTGACTGTTTAAGATTGTTGATGCTGCACTTGAACCTCACTCGAGTTGGTTAGCTGTTGGATGGTATTTTTTTCTTCTTTTATCGTTGGCTTTTAAGAGATTTGATGTGAACTCGTTATCCTCGAGGTTTTGACATTTTTCTCCCTGATTCAGCTTGGCAGGTCCAAGTGGAATGGAAATCTTGGAAGCTCAGGGATGGTTGTGAGAGTTGAAATTCCTCTTGGCAATGTTGGCACGCCTGCCTTCTCTGTTCAGCTGAATAGTGGTATTGAGTTTTGATAACGTCTCCTGTTTAATTTGCAGTAAAGTGTATATAGCCTCCAGCCCCAAAATATACTGATTGATTGTGTATATACCAACCAGTGTACAAATAAATCCCCAATTGTTCTCTTTCACCATGTCAATTCTGCTTGGACTATGGATTTTTGTTACAGGGAGCAGTTTTAGTACAAGGGAAGGACATAAGAAAGGATTGTTATGTCCTATGGGTAATGAATGAATCTGAGTCCTCGTTTTTAGCGTAGTTTCTGATTTAAAAGTTATTCTACAACTTCTGATTGACATTTTTCTCCAAGTTAAAAAAAAATAAAAGGGACACACTTTCAAATAAATCAGAAGTTGTTAGGTTATGTTGAAAGAAGGTACTTGGAGTGAAGAAGGGCAGGTGAATAAAAATAAAAAGAATAGGACAAGACTTGCCTGCACACACCCGTGTGTATGTCATTCATACTCGCCACTGATGTGGTTCAATTATAAATACACAAATAATTTTTAATTAAAAAAGTACTAAATAAGGAAATAAGATCGGATTTATTTTTAAAAAGTTAGTCATTTTTTATTATTTTCTTGATATTGTAATAAGTGGTAAGGATAACTTACTTATCGGTGAATAGACAAGTTTTATTCAAAAGAATATGATGTTACGTTGAAAGAAGATTTGAATGATGAGTAGACAAGTCTTGTTCAAAAGAATATGATGTTATGTTGGAAGAAGTCTTATTCAAAAGATACAGATTCTCATTTGGGTAAAGTGAGGAAAATCCCTTTGAATTAAAGTCCTTTTTGCAATAAACTCGCTTAAATTAGTACTTATTGCAAGCGAGAAAAAGAAAAAGAAAAAAAGGCTAGTACTATTGCAAAATTTCCTTGTATTATCAATTTGCACCTTCTTGTTAGTCCACAAAAGTGACAGGGAAAAAAGAAAAAAAGGCTAGTACTATTGCAAAATTTCCTTGTATTATCAATTTGCACCTTCTTGTTAGTCCACAAAAGTGAGTGTCATGTGCTACGAATGTGTTTTCTAACAAGGATGCCCTTGCAAATAATGGATAGACCTGTGATATCTCTTCAATCTTTCAAAAAAATGGTGAGGGTTCGAATCTATGCAGGATCAAGGAATAAAAATGAACGTCATCTGGTGGCAAAGAAACATTGACCTGTACCATTTACTATAAATTGGTACAGTTGAAGAAGTGGAGCTCGTGTTTCTCACTAAATTCATTTATATATATATACACACACACACGCAACACAGAGAGAGAGTCAACTTGACATAGTACTTTCAGGAAGCAATACTTACTTACAGGATATGGTGATTCAGCGATGCACAAACTTAATTTGATCATAGAGTTCTGAAGATTAAAAAAAGGCTATGATGAGAGAGAATCAAGGAGCTGAGACTCGAGAGAGCTTGAAATGGAAGAATTGCAAGCATGCGAGTCTCTGTCCTTTTCTGTGTTGAACAAGCTCTCTTTACTAATGCTCCATATGCATTGGAAGAATAGAGAATATTGATTCCACACAATCTGGTATTGCAAATTATTTCTTTAACAAGGAAAACTTGGTGCATGAGACTACCGCCGTTGTGGGATCTGGGAGGGTCAGATGAATGCACCCACGCGCACATAAACACACACACACTAGCAATTAGATACTGTCTGCATTAAGGTCCATTTCTTCAAGACCCGTATAATCTTAGACTCAATTCAAATGATGCAGTTATTTGTGCAAACATCGCCATGGTGATCATTAGTACAAAAAAAAGATTGTTCCAAGTCAGCAGAGTGCCATACCAAATACTAATAAAGACTCAACCATATGTGAGTTATGCTCAAGCTTATTTATTCTTCATATTGTAATCCCTAATCCGAATGTGCAGAACCCATCATCTCACCAGCTTTTATACCAGGAGATTTTGTTTCGATGATAATCCTTCTTAGCACTCGCAGTCTCTGGCCTTCCTCGCGGAATTATCAGAGGGCGAAAGAAGATTAGAACAAACACCAACTCTGTCAAGAATGACATGATACTGATCCATACGAAAATCGTTCTTCTCCAATGCCATATAATCCGTTTCATTTGAGGCAGCTCAGATTCAAGAGCAAGTGATGCATCATAAATCTCCGGTATACCAGCACCGCGTTGGTATTCTGCTCGCTGTTCTAGTATCACCTTGAAGCAGGCAGTTGGCTCATACCGTTCTGTAAAATCGCGGACATTGGTATTAAGAATTTGGGATTCTGATTGAAAACCAGCAATAAGAGGAACACTCTTGAATATGGTCTCGACATAACGGATAGGTTGGCTTTTGAATCGTAGCATACACGGATAACTTGAAGTGGCAATGACTTTACCATTTGCAGACAAGAACTCCACCCTAACCTTCAATGCACAACAAAATGGTGCCATTAGCACAAGCACTTCAATTACAACTGAAATTTCAATGCTAAAATCAATAAAACTAAACAACTAATTAATAGGACCTTGTAATTTGGCTTATTGATAGATTAAACAAAGGCATGTCTAACTATATAACCTGTTCTAATGAATCACCAAAACTACACCAACAACAGAAACACAAGGTCTAGCTCATGAGTCATGTCCACTACCATAATAATTGAAATACAAGAACAATGACCAAAAAAGTGGATCAGATAACATACCTGGAATACGCCTAGTTTTCTGTTGTACTCGGATTCAGGCAATGTTAATGTAATAGTGAGCTGCAGCTTGTGATTATAAGGAATAAAACGTGCACCGGCACGTTGTGCAGCTTCTATGCTGTCTGCGGAGAAGAGGGCAGAGGGGACATCAACACCGGGAGAAGATGTTATGGGCACAAAAGCAACTGGACTGGCTTTGGTGTAATCAAAATTCAGGGTCTTCGTAGTCTGTATCGGCTCCTCCACTAGGAGTCTCATATTAAGACCGCCTATTACAAACCCGGACACAAGCAATCCGAGTAGCATGAAGCAGACATAGATTGACCAGAAAAAGGCCAAACCAAACCTTCTTCCCAGATTCACTATCGACTTTTCTGGGATGAACCGGTCACATATAAATGAAGTGACAGCAGCATAAAAATCACCCAACATTCCCAACAGCTTCTTCATCAAATGCTCTTTGAATTGCATTACAGTTTGGAATGGAAACATGAAGAACATGAAGAAAATGTATGATAACCAAATGGGTAGTGTGAAAAACCTCACAAGTAGACTAATTTGAAACCCAACTGATTTCAGCACTAGCAATGCCAAGAAAGCTAGAAAATTCAAAGGAAAATCATTATAGCCTCCTGAAGGACAATTCACCACTTTTGGCACATCAATGTACCCATCATTGTCATCTGTTGTATCGTCAAATTGCCGAGGGTATTTGGAATTTCCACATACATTCTCATTTTCTTGCACACTATAAACCTCGTGAGGCTCTGAATTCAGGTTCATGTCCTCTTCGTTCTCGAGAGGAGACAACTGCTGCTTGATGCCGTTGAAGCTAGTAGACATTTTTAGCGATTTTCGAGCCATTAACACCTTCTCAGCGCCATTGAGCAAAGAGAATGCCATCGAATTGAAGAAAGAGCTTCGCGACATCATGTCATTTTTACGACTAAAATCAAGAAATTTTCCGGGATTTTGGAAGAACCCATTGTCGTTATGGAACTCAGGAATGCTTTTGTGAATTTCGGAGCCTTCCATAGACTATAATGCGAGGTTTAGGAGAGGGTTTAGTGGCAATGGAACAGAGAGTAGGGGAGAGGGAGAAGGAGTGACTTTAGGAAAGGGGGTTAACGGTAATTAGGAATTTATAGGAGGGAAATGATGAGGTGGCATGAACTGTTAATTTTCTTGGGGTGCTAAATGAGATTATGCCAAATGGACAGTTCAGATTGATTGATTCACCAATCCAATAGAAAAGTTTGGCTGTCTTATCGGACGGATTATATTGTCCGATACTCTTTTCAAGTCAGAGAAATCAGGATAAGGTTTTAATCCCAGGATAAGTTATGATGTAGCGCGACACACAAATCAATACTCCTCATTTGGGGCTTCTATACTGGTTGTAATCATTAAACGTATGTCATACGCGCTATTGTTTCGCTTTGTTTTGTGTTTGGCACGCACACCTAAACATGAGTCTTCTTATTTAAGTATAATATTTTTTATATGACAGAACACTCTGAGTAAATATTCGTCCAATCCGGTGAACGTTATCACAATCATTGATGTCATGTATTCAGGCGTGTTGTGCAAGAACGATTGTAATGTACCCATTGTACCAAGCACAACGAATAGTTACCACTCATACATCCATTTGCCATTATGTAAATTTGAATTCTCACTTTTTATTTTTAAAGGCAAAGTCGTATGTGACATTGTTTAATGAGCAAGTTCATATGTTTCACATTAAATTCAGATAAAAAAGTAATTGAATATAAATGGGTGGGTATGTAATATTACCGTACAACTTAAATTTTTGAGTAAATAGACAAGTGCCTACATATTTTTATTGGTATCAAAACCAAACCTAATTTTTGATCCGATGTTACGCTAAACGTCTGGTCTGAAAGGCATTCAGGTTTGCAGTCCGAATAGAAAGGTTAGCCCGAACCGCAATGAGGGAGTTACGAGTTTGGGTGGAAGAGAATGTAATAAGGGTCATTTGTCGCACATCGAATTTGGATGAAAAATTAATTGAGTATAAATGAGTAAGTACGCAGCACTATCGAACAACTTAAATTTTTAAATAAATGGATTCATATATCAAGACAAGACAATTATATGGATTCAATCACTTACATATAATCGATTTGAATTCCATAATCTATTAACTAAATAAATTGAATATAAATTATGATTCATCAAATTCAATAATAATTATATAATTTAACATAATATTATATATAACAAGATATACATATACTTTCTAATTTTATAATATACCCCATTCACAATGTTTTTACCATTATTTTTTTGTCCCCCCTCTCTCTCTCTCTCTCTCTCTCTCTCTCTCTCTCTCCTTTCTTATTATATTATTTTTCCCTTGACAAAGAATCAAATGCCCATTTTCTCTTTTTTATTCATATTTTATTTGTCTTAATAGACTTCTCTGTCTTTCCTTTGAATCAATGTTTCACACTCTCTTTTGACTTCAAAATTCTTTTAACTAGAAAATTATACCTTTTTTTTTGGCCTGACAAACACGATACTACGTATTATTATTGATAACCAAAAGTACAAGCAGGCAAAGCACAGATAAAATAGTCCACAGACTTATTGAATACTGCTTGACAACAAATCAGATATGTAACTTTCGAAAAAAAAAAAAACAAATCAGATATAAATTCATTTATGATGACCGGCGTATATGTGTTTCACATGGGATCAATGACAAGACCCATCTACTCTAACATTTAAAACTAATTAACCAATTGTTACTTGTTAGAGAATTGGTATATTTATTTAATTTTGATTTTCACTATTGAAAAATACAGAACTCATTAGACTGGTGTTGGTTGAGCTGAGCATTTTTATTATTTTATTTATTTATTTTATAAAAAATTTAAAACTTATGTTTTACATTTGTTTGTTTATATAACTACCATTACATCTAATTATTCATTATTGATGTGCGTAATAAACGTGTGAACATACATAGAAACAGTTTAAATGCGCTTGTTATACGGTACAACAAGAGCAATAAAATTTTTCTTATTATGCGATAAGCCTCACACTAGAAGATTCACTAGCAAAACTAAGGTCATACCCATTTTTTGGGTATACCGGTCGGTCTTATGATGATAAATTTTGTCCAAGATGAGATGGGCTTCATCATGAGATCCATGGATTGGTTAAAACATATAAAGTGTTAGAAGTTATATTAGTGTTCGAGCAGTTTTTTGGTTTTACGCCGGTCGATGGGTTATTGCGTGCGCGTCAGAATATTTGTATAAAACACTTAAAATATTGAATTGAACACCAGTCTATCCCTTTTTCCGATGGCTAACTTTCATGCGATTGTGTGGGAGAGAGACTAGTAAGAATTCCCAGTAAGGTTCTTTTATGCCTTGGTGCAAGGATTTTTTATCTAAGGTGTTTAAAAGAAGTAAAAATACAACTACTAAAGTAAAGTAATTTAAATGAAAAGGGCTGAATTTAAATTAACAGTAAAGAAAGAAGGCTAAATTGAAATAGCATGAAAAGTAGACGCTGAATGGAAATGACAATAAAGGAAATGGCTGAATGGAAATTACATGGAAAATAAAGAGTGAGGTGAAATGAATCGGCTGAATTTACATGACAAGAATCTGATCAAAGATTGCCATTTAATTCAATTGAATAAAACAAATGACTGCTAATGTAAATAGCATAATTAAAGCATTCCAAGAGAAGAGTAAGTTACTGGAACTTAAATTTTTTGAATGAAAATTGCGATAAAAGAAGTAAAAATAAATGACGTTTTTGAATGAAAATTGCCAAATAAATGACGTAGAGTCAATTGAATGAATTTTGATTCATATTTTGTGGTTGGTGCTGGACGTCTTGGAAATAATACAAACTTTCCTATTTATAGAATTTTCTCTTAATTTATTTTCCTAATTTCTTGCTAAAATATCTCCTTCTTTGATTTTCTCTCCTTTGTAATTCAAATTGGGTTTGATGTTGACTAAGTTTGTTTCTTCGAATGAACTTCCCATCTGGCATTCCCTTTGAATCAGTCAAAACCCATATTCCTTATTTGCCTCAAACTAAGTCAAAATTGGAACTTCCATATAATAACTCAACTTCCATTCCTTGTTTGTAGGGCTTAGTGCCAAATTTCAATATTTTCTTCTAAGTCAGCAAATATATGTTATGAAGTAGTCAACTATTTGTTGCTAAAATTTAGCAACAATCCATTTAGCCTGGCGGCCAAACAATATATCAAATATAATTCCACGGGTCACCTTCTTTTTCTCCAATAATTTCCATATGGCCAATCCTCATGGTTCCATGTTGAAAATATTTGTTACCCTGTCATTGGTCCACGTCATCGTTGAGATGGCTGCCAAGTTTTGGTGCCAACAATTAGTGTATGTAGAAAGTTAAAGTCTAGTACTACAAAGTCTAATGGACACACTAATTACTGAGTTATCTATATGTAAACGACAAAAAAAAAGAAAAAAAAAAAGAAAAAAAAAGGGTATGTCAGTTGAAACTAGGGTCGTAATTTGATTATTGGGAGAACCAAGTTGGTCTTTGTAAACGAACGAAGTAATGAAATTTGTGTGGAAAAATGTCACTAGAATTCTAATGTAGACTCATTTGTGAGCGATGTTCATATGACTGGAGAGAATAGTAATGAGATGCGCTGGTGGTAGTCTTGGAGGACCCGAGTCAATGAATAAGAAAGGAACCTGAAAAGAAAAGATTAATTAATGGAGGAAAATCCGGAAAGAGGCAAAGAGACCATCTTGAAAGCAATGCATGAGAAACACGATGTGATGGAGAAGTTCTATAATCTCCTTGGGGTATTTTAGAATTTTCTAATGTGGTGACCGGAAATTAAAAGTTCTAATCAGTTTGACATGGAGGATTTCAAAACAACAGTTTTTTTGGATTTCAAAACAACAGTTTTTTTTTTTGGTCAAACTGATTAGAACGTTTAATTTACGGTCACCACATTAGAAAATTCTAAAATACCCCAAAGAGATTATAGAACTTCTCCATCACATCGTGTTTCTCATGCATTGCTTTCAAGATGGTCTCTTTGCCTCTTTCCGGATTTTCCTCCATTAATTAATCTTTTCTTTTCAGGTTCCTTTCTTATTCATTGACTCGGGTCCTCCGAGACATATGAACATCGCTCACAAATGAGTCTACATTAGAATTCTAGTGACATTTTTCCACACAAATTTCAATACTTCGTTCGTTTACAAAGACCAACTTGATTCTCCCAATAATCAAATTTCGACCCTAGTTTCAACTGACATACCCTTTTTTTTTTTTTTCTTTATTTATTTATTATTATTATTAATTTTTTTTTTATATTTTCAATAAGGGCATTGTGCCCCTTTGAAATAAAATCCTAACTCTGTCGGGCCCAAAGTCTTTTGGTAAAAACTATTTTTTTTTTTTGTACAGTGTCGACTAGTAGTCGAAAATCAAACACCAATTTAGTATTTTTATATATTTTTGCAGTGTAACGTTTGGTCATATAGTGATGAACAATAAAATAAAATTTTAAAAACTCTTAAATATAAATTTTAAATTAATCATTATATTTTTTAAACCCGCGAACATTATATTTGAATTTGTCCAAAAAAGAAGAAACACAGCAACACATAAAAGATATATGATGAACAAGTTTTTTTGCTAATTAGGGTTTGATTAAGAGGGCAAGTGGGCTTCAATATTTAGTATACATTATACAAACAGGAGATTTTGTTTATTTAATCCGTTCTGTGTTCACAAATTATTTTTCTTCAATATTCTTCAAGAATTTTTGCATGAAATAATTTGTGAAAGACTAAAAGTTCTGAATATACATGTGTTTGTTTGATGGTATTGCATAATCATCTTCTCCGGATGATCATGTTGTGAAAAAAAAAAAAAAAAAAACAGAGATGGTGTCTTCACATATAAACTAGATCGCAGTGGAAACAAATAGGTCTTTACATCTATGTAGAGAGAGTTGAAATCTTTGTACACGACTGGCGTCAAAAAAAAAAAAAAAAAAAAACAGAGACGGTGTCTTCACATATAAATCAGATCGTAGTGGAAACAAATAGGTCTTTACATCTCTGTAGAAAGAGTTGAAATCTTTACTTGGCTGAGACCACATTTGACGTAATGGGTACGGAGTACCTAATAATTTTTTATCCTTAAAATTACTTTTTTAAAGAAGGGACATTTTTCTCTTTACTTTCACTTCTTACTTTCTGAAAAAAATCATCACCGCACATCTCTCTCTCTCTCTCTCATTCCATAATATGTCTCATAAAAATCGTGACTCATCACATCACGATTTTTAAATCATAAGATCACGATTCCCAAACAATAAATCCATAACACTTATTATAAGATAGAGAGAGTATTATTATACATGCATATTATTTTTAATAGCCAAAGTATTTGAATGTACCAAAAAATAATTTATGAATTTGTGAACTAAAGGATTTCAGAAAATAAAATGAGAATCCAAGAACACTACTCTCACATCTTATTTGTTTGTTTGTTTGTTTTTTTTTTTTTTCAATGAAAAAAATAAATCAGCACAAAATTACATAAAATGTAAGTGTTGATCCATTACAAAAGACATAAAATAAAGCATCCCATATGAAACCCAATGTGTTTCTCATGTACTCCTTATTACTGTTGGGAAATAATTTCCTTCCACTCGGTACCCACCATGCTTTTTCTTTCTTTTCTTGCTTTGCTAGTAAAGCCCATGTAAAGCTTAGCCCAAAAAAAAAAAAAAAAAAAAGTAAAAAGTCTTCTGACTTTCTAATTTTTAAACAAAACCGTGTTAATGGTAGAATAAAAAGTACGTACTTGTGTGTTCAAACTGATGAATGAATAATTTAAATATTCGAGGATAGCGGAGGGTTGTTAGATAAATGTACTATTTTATAAGATCGAGATAGACTCTACAAATTACGATAAGAATAAGACTAATTAAATGACGATAACTCTACCTTACATCCAGATCTAAGCCCTATAAAGAAAGGGGCTAGTTAACGTTTTAAGGTATGAAACATATCTTAACTCATTTTTGTTGATTTCTCCGGAGAGAGAAAACTTTGTACACTGACTTGTTCATCTGAGTCTACTCCATCGGTAACACATCGGTGTCTGTAGGATTACTTTTTCTTCTCTTTGTTCAGAAAGTCATATCAGATTCGGGTTGTGCAGAATCCCTCGTCAACACAAACAATCTCTATATGTGTGAAATCTTAGAAAGTAAATGAATGTTGGATACAAAAAAATCAGATGCCTCTTATGATGGATGAACTCAGCTTACCTTTTGATTCGAAAACATTTAAATTTAAGTAGTGTTTCAGAACTATCGATTGCACCATCATTTGGAACTCTTTAAAGTTATAGAAATTCTTCTAATAATTAGAATATATATTTTTCTTTTTTACAAAATTCCTCTCTTTATCATGGAGATTATATAGCAAGATTAATTCATTTATAAAAAATAAAATAAATAACAAGAAATGTGTCAATAACTTTTGTTTCTTTGAAATGCTTACCAATTTTTTTGAAAGTACACAAAAAAATATACGTTTAATGGAGAGATTCTTTTGCTTTTTAAATTTATTCCATAATTTTGTAAATTTGATCTCACTACAAATTATACATAAAATCACTTTGAAAAGCTAATTTGGGAAATTTTCTTTGATATATATATATATAAATATATTGATAATTAAACAATTTTATTAAATAAGGAAACAAACAGCCGCATACATCTCAACAACAAAAAAAACAAACCAGATTTCAAAGAGGGTATTTGGGACTTTAATAATAATTCTTGATGCATTTGTAATTATTTTGTTTAAATTAATCAAATTGAAAACTAAACTTTTAAAGTAGATCATTTTGTTATTTAAAACTTCTAACTCTACCTATACATTATTTTTTTCAAAAAATATAGTACTAATGTAGTAATGTGTTCAAACTATCAATGTGAAATATAAAAAAGTAAATGCATGTAGTAGGATACCAAAAAAAAAAAAAAAAAAAAAAAAAAAGCACAAACTATTATATACAAGTCATCTAGATAGGTGAGTATTTATACAAGAAATTTAGATAGTAGGTGAGAGATACAACAGTAGATATATATAATTCAACAATCTTTTAACAAAAATCAAGGGCTGACATACTTTTTTACCGTTTAAATTCTCACACGGGTAAAATTAAATGCGTGAGTTATTTTTTTACCAATAAAAAAAAATATAAAAAAATAAAACTTTAAGAAGATAGCCATCCCCAATTCTCAACATTATTTGATTCCCTTACCCACAAGGACATTGAAACACAATACATTAGTTGAGCCTCGTCTTTTCTTTTAATGCCTATGAATGTTTTTTTTATCAATATTTGTTTGACCATCATCGCATCACATTGACAAAGTTGTTAATGCATATTACCAGGTCATCATAGTAGTAATTATTATTATTATTTTAAGAAATAACGATGGTGGGAAGAAATAAAGTGGTTGGATTTTCCTAGTATTGGGATTAAATTAATGGAGGAAAATCCTGAAAGATGCAAAGAGACCATTTTGAAAGCAATGCATGTGGAGAGGTTCTACAATATCCTTGGCTTATTTTAAAATTTTATAACGTAGTAAATGTAAACTAAACGTTCTGATTTGTTTGAAATAGTGGATTTTAAAAGAACAAGTAGAGTTTTTGATTTAAATACGTAATAAATATAGCTCCATAGATTTAAGAGGATTTCAAATAAACGGATTTGAGAAAATTATATATGTGAATTACAAATAATTAATAAGCTAAAATACATGTTGACAAGAATTTAAGTTGAGCAATAATTTAGAGAGGACGAGGTGAATCAAATCTGAATTCTCACACAATTCACGATAACGGCTATACCAATTGGCTATCCAGATCACCCTAAATCAAAACTTAACTTAGCCGGCCAATCCTCTGCTCAAATTCAAGTCCACTTGATTTCAAATTAATAGTTAGTGATCAACCCAATGCCAAATCTAATATATCATGCAAAAGAATAATACAATAATAATAAATCAGTTATTATTAGATTACACACCCAGATCTATCCCAATAATATACATTGTGTGTGTGTTTCATGTCTGGTGATAATTTTTTGACAGTAAGGAGCAAGCGTGAAATTAAGAGGAAGATGTCCATTTGTTTGGAAAACTTAGCTCTTAATACCTTATTTAATTATGCAGGGGAGACTTGATTAGTGCTTTTGTGAAACACGACGACTCTCTCTTCACATTTGGTTAGTGGGACTTGACTTAATTCCACATATCCACCAACACATACGCACTAGTATAATATCATTTTGATATTCTTCTATATAAACACCAACTCTCATATATTGTGTACACACAAACGCATACGTACATTCACAATGGCTTGCTCACCAATATTGTGTCACTTCACCTTCCTGCATTTGCTCCTCCTACTCACTACATTATACTGCTTGCTTATTAACGCTCTCTCTTCCTTGCAGCCACTCTGCCGTGACTATGAGAGCTCTGCTTTGATGCAATTCAAGCATAGCATTTCCATGGACGAGTCTGCTTCTTCCGATCCATCTGCCTATCCAAAGCTTGCATCGTGGAATGCTAGTAGCAGTGATAGCTGCTGCTCATGGGACGGGGTCACTTGTGATGAGGACACCGGCCGTGTCATTGGCCTTGACCTCAGCAGCAGCTTTCTCCGCGGTTCTATTCAATCCAACACCACCCTCTTCCGCCTTGTTCACCTTCAGAAACTCAACCTTGCGGACAATCACTTTGATGACTCTCAAATCCCATCTGATGTTGGACTTCTTTCAATGTTAACTTATCTCAATCTCTCAACATCCTCATTTGCTGGTCAAATCCCATTGGAAATTTCAAATTTAACCAAATTAGCTTCCCTTGATCTCTCATTCAATTTCTTGGAGCTCCTAGAGCCTGGCCTAACAAGGTTGGTTCAGAACTTGACGGATTTGAAACAACTTCACCTCAATGACGTGAACGTATCTTCTACGGTACCTGAGATTTTGGCAAATTTTTCTTCTTTAATGTCTCTACTTGTCAAAAATTGTGATTTACATGGTGAATTTCCGACAGGCATTTTTAAGCTACCAAACCTACAGTTTCTTGATGTTCAGTACAATGAAGAGCTGAGCAGTTATTTGCCAGAGTTCCACATGAGAAGGAGTCCACTTAAGTCATTGACACTAGCGGGCACAAGCTTCTATGGAGAGTTGTCAAATTCAATTGGAAATCTCCACTCATTGAATACATTGGATGTCTCATTGTGCAACTTCTCAGGGTCAATACCAACATCGATTGGTAATCTTGCACAACTCGTATATCTGGACCTTTCCATAAACAACTTCTCAGGATCAATACCTGCTTCGATTGGTAGTCTTGCAAAACTTGTTTATCTCGACCTTTCTATAAACAAGTTTAGTGGCGAGAACCTGTCATTCCTTGGTAAGCTAACCAAACTATCCTTTTTGTCTCTTGGTGTCAACATTTTCAAGTGTGAGATCCCATCTTCTTTTGCAAACCTGACCCAACTTGATAGATTGTACATGAACTCTAATCAACTAACGGGTCAAATCCCATCTGGGCTTATGAATCTGACCCGGTTAACAATCCTAGACCTTTCAGATAATTTGTTACAGGGTCCCATCCCAGAGTCGATATCTCAACTTGCAAATCTACAAGAACTTTATATTGATTCAAACAACCTGAGTGGAAGAGTGAAGCTAGATGCGTTTTTTGTCATGAAAAATCTTACTACTCTTCATCTGTCATATAACCACCTAACCTTACTCACCAATAGAGATTACACCAATGCCCCCGTTCCAAAGTTTCATCATCTGGGATTGGAGACATGCAACCTAACAGAGTTTCCGGATTTTTTGAGACTCCAAGACGAGTTGCTGTGGTTACACCTCAGCAACAATAAAATTCAAGGCCCCCTGCCTACATGGATATGGAATATGAGTATACAAACTCTGTTTGAACTCGACCTTTCTCAAAACTTTATAACTGGCTTTTACCATCATCCATTAGTCCTTCCATGGGGCGGGCTCGCGGTTTTAGACCTTAGTTCTAACATGCTGCGAGGATCATTCCCCGTTCCACCACCGTCCACCCTTGTTTATAAGGTCGCGAACAACATGTTCACCGGGGAAATTCCGCCACTTTTATGCAATGTGAGTTCTCTTTTAATCCTGGATTTATCTTATAACAATATGAGTGGCATCATTCCCCAATGCTTGGGCAGTGAAACCGAGTCTCTGAAATTTTTGAATCTTCGAAACAATAAATTATGTGGGCCCATTCCTCAAGGATACAAGAACGGGACCCAACTCACGAAGATCAACTTGAGTCAAAACCAATTGGAAGGGCCAGTGCCGAGATCGTTGGCCAATTGCACAATTCTAGAGAGTCTTGATCTTGGGAACAATCACATCAATGATGTTTTCCCTTTTTGGTTGGGAACACTTTATGAGTTGAAGGTTCTCATTTTGCGATTCAATAGGTTCCATGGTGCAATTCGGAACCCTAAATCAAGTTTAGCTTTCCCCAAGTTGCACATTCTTGACATATCTCACAATGGTTTCACTGGTAAGTTACCTTCCGGTTACTTCCATACCTGGACATCCATGAAAACTATTGATGTTAATCAATCGACATCCTACGGGAGTGTAGACTTTGCTAGAGATCACAATAATTACATGACAACACTATCGAACAAAGGTGTCCAAATAGGGTACTTGTATGTCCTAAATGTTTTTGCTGCCATTGATCTCTCAAGTAACCGATTTGAAGGAAAGATTCCAGAATCTATTGGAATTCTCAAGTGTCTTCACTCGCTCAACCTTTCCAACAACAATCTCATCGGCCAGATCCCATCATCATTGGGGAATCTAACGGAGGTTGAATCGTTGGACCTTTCTCGAAACAAACTCTCGGGAGAAATACCTCAACAGCTAACCCAACTCACATTCCTTGCATTCTTCAATGTGTCTCATAATCATCTCAGTGGGCCTATTCCACGAGGAAGGCAATTTGATACTTTTGAAAACAGTTCGTATGAGATGAATTCAGGATTGTGTGGAGATCCTTTGGCAAAGAAATGTGGCAATTTAGAAGCATCACCACCACCTTCAAATTTGAAGCAAGATGATGATGATGATTCATGGTTTCCAATTGATAAAACTGATTGGATAGTCATATGCATGGGTTATGGAGGTGGGTTAACAGTTGGGCTGATCATTGGGCACACTCTGACAACAAGGTATCATGAATGGTTTGTCAGCACCTTCGGAAGGAACCAAAAGAAACAGAGAAAGAAGAATAAGAGCAGGCGAAGAAACTAAATTTGATGAGCCCGGCCATATTCGCTTTCGACTAGAGGTAGGTGCGTCAAGGAAATGAAGAATTTCAGATCCAGCATGGAGTTTTCATCAACTATCAGGTCTAAGTTTTTTTTATTTTTTTATTTTATTTTTTTTCAGGTCAAGAATGTTATATTAGAAGTCAGGAGTCGAAGGCTTGAAGCCGGGCTCTCAAGAATAACCGGAAGCAACAATGGCTGGACTAAGAAGGCACGGTGTCTAAGTTTGTCTTCTGTGTATATATATATTTGTATACATTGCGTTGTGTTTGTTCTTCACTTGTTTGCAATTGTGGTCCATGCCAACCTTCATCATAATTTCATAAAGGTAATGTTTTTACATAATTGTTCAAAAGACGCTTCGCAGCCCTGCATAATCCTCTCTATGCATGTGCAATATGGCAAGACCAAACATGCATGCACGGTAGAACAGTAATTCGGGCAGATTAGAGGTACAACTCAAACCCAACTTCATATATGAAATGTTTAATTCTAACTTGACCTCCGATCTTAACTAATCAACTCTAGTCCAACTCTTTTTAAATTTTAAACTCGGATTGACAACTCGAATTGAAATTTCGAGTTTAAAAGTCGAGTTAATTCGAGTTATGCATATGACCAATACCTGAATATCAATACTAAAATTGATGCCATTATAGCACAAGCACTTCAATTTCAATTGAATATCAATGCAAAATTCTCAAAAATTGGTGAGCAATGTTCACACGACGGACAAATTATATTTAAAGAAGGCCTAATTAAAAGAATAATCAAGGTGGTCCATGAATTTATGATATGATCACCTTCTATTTTATATTTAATTTTTCTGCGCGCAAGGCATGACATTATTTACTTTCCTTCCTCCAAAGATAATTGTAGATGTATTAAAATGAGAGAACTTCAGGGAAATAGCCGAGTTAATATAAAGTTGTTGAGAGTTTAGTGAAATTCAAATAGATTATTAGTCCCACTTTGGAAAGATTATGAAACTACCGTACACAAATGGTCTATTATTGTACTAATGTAATAAGATGGTCTAATATTTGATCAATTTTTTATAAAAATTCCAAAATACCTTAATAAACACCATCTTTCTTTACTCTCTCTCTCTCTCTCTCTCTCGTATCATTGTTTGATTGTAGATATTTTATTATAAACAGTTTAATGTTTTAAGTAAATTGGACCATACCATTATATACATACTTATCACTTAACTTAAAATTTATTTTACAGTAAATATTAAAAATTGTAAATTGATGATATCTCCTTAGTCGTTACTAGCGAAAAATTGAAAGCTCAAGTAATTATAGGATTAAAGTGGGTGGGGTAGCCAGTATATATCATTGTTTGATATAGATATTTTATTATAAACAGGTTAATGTTTTTGCCAAAGCCAGTGGAAGAGAATGCTCATTGCAGATGATATCAAAACATTGCTTTCTGAATCGCAAAAGGTTGGCCTAGTGGAAAAGGTTTAGGGTTTGGAACCTCATTAAGCTGTAGGTCTTAGATTTGATTCTCTTTTAAGTGCAAGCAATTTTTTGGGATCACAATCGTGGACATAGTTCGAGTTTAACCCGATTTGTGTGGGGGGGTCGCCTTACCCTTGCCCTCAGGAATTAGTTGGGACGAAACCTCAGGATACCTCGGTTTCCAAAAAAATATATATATATTGCTTTCTGATTGCAAAGTGCCATCCCTGGTTTGGGCTTGAAGGAAGTGCAATAAAGTGGCCCATCTTCTTAGCAACTGGGCTTTAGCTAGGAAATCCACGATCTAGAGTTGAATGTATGGCCTTCATGACTGTCTGTTGCTATTGAAGATGAGTGTTCTTGTGCTACTTAGTTTCTTTGCTTCCATTTTAAAATTTTAAAAGTCAAAATTATGAGTGAACATTTAATCCGTCTATCCGATCCGGGTGAATCGGATTGGTTTTTTAGGCTCACGGATCTAACATGGGTTTCTCCTTACTCTGTGGCTTATATGGTTTTCACATGGGTCCTATCATGAGACCCATCTAATCTAACATTTTATACTAATTAGCCAATTGTTTTGATTAGATGTATAGCTGGTAAATTTTAAAAATTTATTACTCTTTTTGTCTCAAAATAATTTTTTTTTTTTTTTTGGAGATTACAATTTTTTGAGAGAATGATTTATATTATTTTTTTATTATATTAATAGTGAATGAATTATCGAATTTATTCCTATTAGTTCCACAGTATGATTTCAAAAAATACTACATTGACTTTTCAAATAAGACACTTATTTTGTGATAGATAAAAATGAACAGATGGACTCTTATATTGACATGAAAAGAATATATTCAATGTGTATATATAAATGTGTGTGTGTGCGTATATATCTCGGTTAGAACATTTATTTAAACCAATTAACGTGTAAACAAATACCTATAGTCAGCGACACTAACGCTCAGCAATGGTCAATGCTAACAAAGCCAAATTTAAAAATTTATATAATGTACATACCCTTTAAATCTTTTGCAATTAAAGTTATGTTCATATAATTAATAAGGGTTAATTTCAAATAACAAACTATAATGCTGCTGTTACTTATGAGGGGGTGACAAGGGAGTAAGTGTAACAAAAATTCAAACTAAAGGAGTGATAAGTGTAATTTACCCCTTTAATCATCTTTCAATTTTTCAGTAATAAGGAGTATAAGATATATATCATTAGTTTACCACCTTTAATATTTATTGCAAAATGAATTTTACGATAAGTGATTAGGATCATCCAATTTACTTGAATCATTAAACTGTTTATAATAAAATATACACTAAGTTTTTAAATTTTTAACCTCGGAAGACACACCTTATAGGTTGACACATTCCTCTGATAAAATAAAAATAAAAATGTCCCAATCTTTCAATATCAAAATCTTTAACCCAATCCAATTGCCAAATGGCATCTAATTTAATTACTGCCCTTGATGCTTCACTCGGAAAATAAAATATTATCAAAACTCCAACTTGTTTGACTATATAAATAAAAAAAAACTCTATACGATAAGCTAGTGGGTAGATTATGTGTCACCTTCATTGCTTTAGCTCCAACATTTTATAATCCTTCTTGCTGTTTACACTCTATATTCTCCTTGCTTACCTAAAATATACAAAATATTAGTAGTATTTATTTTTGTTGACTATGAAAAATAGTAAGCTGTCACTACGAATATACACACATGAACCCAGCTAAGCATGGTTGACTTTGATCTTTATCGGTTTACATGTTGCCCACTGTGTTTAGTGTAAACAGAACCCAGAAAAGTATATAAATCCAACGGTCAAAAAGTCATTGGATTGTAGAATAAATATGTAGATATATGTTTATTTCTAGGAACCAACCAACAGTGTGTTCAAATTTAAGAGGAAATTGCCTTTACCCATGTGTGTGTGTATATATATATACACACACACACCTTGATGGTCAAATCATTTCCTCGCCAGGTAAGACGGTTTTTGAATAAAAATAAAATAAATCCGTGTCATCTGACTCACCTTATACACATGTCGGCTATGCACGTGAAATGTTACATGAGTACAAATTAGGAATTTTTTTCTTTTCTATCTCTTGGAATTTTGAGTTCATTTTATTTTATAAAATTATTTCATGTTCTTAAGTTTATTATTCTATAAAATTGAATTATAAGTTATAATTTTATGTTTATATCATGGTTCGCGGTCACGATCACAGTCAAGTGTAATGTATTTGGACAAAATCAATATAAATTGATCAATACAAATTGCGTATCTAATTTAAAAAAGAATCGCATATCAATTTATAGGACGAATCATAATTTATATAGTCTTATAGTTTAGTATTATTTTCTCACTTTTTTAAATAAAAAGACGAAAGCATAAGGTGAAACTTAAGTACGGGAGTGTTGTTCTGTGATCTAGTCTTAGAAATTTGTGGTTAGTTGGGTTATTCATATATCCAACCATTTTTTAAATTCTCTCTTGCTTTCGATTTAATTTCATTCGTATTATATTAGTATTTTGCATTTGTCGGCTTTCACGAGGTCTTCTTTCTCTCTCTCTTCAAGAAAAGTAAACCATCGTCTTCGTCCCAATGGGCAACCATATATCGATCACATATATGTCTTCTAGTTGCATATGACCAGCTCAATTATTTATTCAACCCTCCACTTGTGTCTCTCTCTCATCCATTTTAGCATTTGGTTTCATATGATCACCTCATTTTTCAAATGTGAAGAAGAAGTACTCTCCTTCCTCTTGATTTAGAGACTAACAACATGTTCTTCCCACGACGTCTTACTTCTTCAGTTATTGTATTAATTTTCTTGGTGACTTTTGCATCCGGAGCGACTCTTCCAACGGATGAAGGTATGTATGACATATATATATATGCTGTGTGTATATATGGTTGTTGAGTTCTTTAATTGATTTAGATTGTGATGATCTTCAAAATAGTAACACGTAGAGATGCAACGTTATAAAAAGGTTTGATATATATCAAGAAAGAAATGAGGGGTACATATATATGTTTGTTACTGATTATATATTTCTGTGTTTATGTGTGTGTGTGTGTGTGTGTGTGTGTGTGTGTGTGTATAAACATCTGTGTTTTTTATACATTTTTTGCAGTAGAATCGTTGAAAGAAATAGCAAAAACGCTTGGAAAGACGGATTGGAATTTCAGTGTAGATCCATGCAGTGGAGAATTGGGTTGGGCCAACCCAAATCCAGTAACAGGTTTTGAGAATGCTGTCACCTGTAATTGCTCCTTCTCCAATGCCACCCTCTGCCATGTTGTTAGCATGTACTCTCTCTCCTCTCTCGCTCTCTCTCTCCACATGATGATGTGTGCATTTATTTTTCATTTCTCTCTCTCTCTATTATTTTCTTTTTTTTGGGTGTTTACAAAACACTTATAAACTTGGTGTGTTGGTGTCAAATACCAACTCTTGCATAGCATTCATGGATGCATGTGCTATGATTAGGGCGTTTATAAATAAAACTGTTTACAAAACAGTCCGGGCTTAGCTCCTCCAACTCGTTTATTAAGCAATCTAATTGAACTAAATTCGAGCTCAATTTCTAGATTCATTTGGTAAACAAACTGATTTAGAGTAGTGTTGATCTCGGTATATTTATCTACGTTTGTGAGCATAAGTTCATATAAAGAGTGTAGAGACTCATTAACATGTTCATAAACATTGATTTATATAGGTTTATGAATGTAGTTCATGAACATAGTTTTGTATAGGCTTATATAAACTCATGAATGAGCCAAAACAATCTTCAACGCAAACCCAAATCAAGTTTAAATGATTTTATTTATTAAACAAATAGAGTCTGAGATTTCCAGGCAAGATAGCTTTTCCAACTTGTCATGATCCTGAATTAAACCCACAAATAAATGAGTTGAATTCGAATAAATTCAATTTGGTTCATTTATAACCCTACCTACATAAGTTTGGTTTTTTGTTTTTTTGTTTTTTTTTTCATAACACATTAAAATAATAAAAATTTCAATTATAATATCAAAATTTTTGTTTTTTTATCTATTCGCAACAACACCCACTCACACGTCCACTTTCTTTCTTTGGAACTCAAATATTACGTATAAAATATTTGTTCGTTTAAAAGAAAGCCCGAGGTCCAGAGGTCTAAGGCTCTAAGCGCTGAGCCTGCCGAGTGATGGCCCCGCCAAATGGCCAGTCAAAATTGGAGGGCAAGGGCTTGGCGGGCCAATAACTCAGCTAGGTCGAGGACGGCCCATTGGGCAAATACTTGGACCACAATTATTTTGGCCTACATTTTGGATGCATATAGTAAGCTTGTTCGAGTGGAAAAGTAAAAGGATTTTCTTTTTGGCTATAAATAAAAGGATAAAGTGCATTAAACCCCCTTAAATTATTGATCATTTATAAGAAATCCCTCTGAACTACAAAAAAACTCCCTTGAACTATGATTTTGTTGCAATTTACCCCCTTGAACTATTGGTCATTTGCAAGAAACCCCCCTGAATTACAAAAAACCCCTCTGAACTATGATTTTGTTGCAATTTACTACCTTAAACTATTGGTCATTTGCAAGAAACCGACCTGAACTACAAAAAACCCCCCTGAACTATGATTTTGTTGCAATTTACCCCTATGACATCAGCTTCCGGCACCAAAAATTTTGAAAGACCAGTTTACCCTTATAACACGCTGCGTCGTTTTAACTTATACACTTCTTACATTTTTTTTTTCCTACCAAAAGATACTTTTAACCTAACACAACCCAAAACAAAGAGCTAGCGAGAGAAAGAGAAGAGACCAAAGAAATCTGAGGTCGGCGGGATGGCTCGGTCTCAGATGATGACGGTTTGTGCGCGAAGGACTCGGCTGTGATGAGAGCTCAGTTGACTCAGGCGTGAACTGTGGAGGCTGCGGCAAGCTCAAGGGGGCTCGGCGATGAATTGTGGAATGGACCGGCGAGCAAGGTGAGTTGAATGGCAGACAAGGCGGTGACGGCGATGGGCTGACACAACGGTGCAGAAAAGTGCGATATATATGGCCGACAGATCTAGCGGGTGGTGCAACAGCTATGATGGAACTATGACAGGAAACCCACCGATCCCAACAATAGATTCCTTGGCTTATCCAAACACTCCTCAAACGACATCTACCACTCCGATTCCAACCACAAATTCCTTGGATTCATCGTCCCTTTCAGTCAATCAATTCGGGCGGATGGGGTAAACTGCAAAAAAAATATATAGTTCAGGGAGATTTTTTGCACATAACCCAATAGTTTAGGAAATTTTTTGCAATTTTTATAATTCAGAGGAGTTTCTTGTACATATCCCAATAATTCGGGAGGGTTTAATGTATTTTACCCTAAATAAAATGGAAAGTAATTGGAGATTATTAATTTATTATTATTATTATGTTTTTTTCGCGATATATATCTACATGCACACTCTCTCTCTCTCTCTCGCTCTCTCAATATACACACACAATATTGGCTTAGACTGGTTTTGTGTTGAAACTTGAAATACAGAGTTCTGAAAGCGCAGAATCTTCCAGGCAAATTACCCCCTGAATTGGTGAGATTCCCTTATCTCCAAGAAATGTGAGTTACCTTCAACACCCAAATTTTTTTGATCCCTGCAATGCCCTTATATTTTCTTCTTAATTACCCATTTAAGTACTCAATCTCAACTTGTTGTACAGTGATCTTACCCGTAACTACCTTAACGGTACTATTCCTCCAGAATGGGGTTCCATGCAACTAGTGAACATGTATGTATCAACTCCTCTCTCTCTATCTATATGTGTCTGTGTGTTTTTGCGTGTGTTACATATTGAACTTTTATTGTTCTAACAATAAATGACATGATGGTTAATTTTTGTTGCAGCTCTCTACTTGGAAACGGATTAACGGGTTTGATCCCAAAAGAATTTGGAAACATCACCACACTCAAAAGCTTGTAAGATTTGGATATAACTCATTTATTTCACATTTAGGTAATATGTGATAAATTTATTCTCTTAAAGATGTTAATTTTGGTGTTTTTAGGGTTCTCGAGTTCAATCAGTTTTCTGGAGGCATTCCTTCAGAGCTTGGGAGTCTTCCTCTCATAGAGAGAATGTAAGACCCTTTCATCCGTTTTTTGATTTTCTGGTGTTAAGTTTGAGTGTGTGTACTTTATGAATGTGTGATTCTTCTGATAGTTCATTTGAAATTTGAGGTCAATTGACCATTGGCTTAATTATTTTTTGTTCTTGAAGGCTTCTAAGCTCAAACAATTTTACCGGGGAGTTGCCGGGAACACTTGCAAACCTTACCACTTTGAAGGACTTGTAAGTGTCTAAAGTTGATTCATTTTTTGTTTTTATAAATACTTATTTATTTCCAATTTTAAAATCAATTGTTCAATTTGTTCTTTTACACATTGCAGTAGGATTACCGACAACAACTTTACAGGAAAGATACCCAATTTCATCCAAAACTGGACAAATCTGCAAAAATTGTGAGACTTTTACTTGACTTGTTTTAATATTTCAATTTGTCTTTGGAAGATGTTCTCTGTTTAACCATTCATTTAAACAATTTAAACAAAATTATGACAGGGTGATTCAGGCTAGTGGCTTGGACGGGCCAATTCCTGCTGGAATTTTTCTCTTGGAAAAATTGTCTGACTTGTTAGTAAATTCTTCTAATCTTATAGCTTTACCTGTTTTTATGTAAAACAGTACTGTATCTAATTTATGTTTATTCTTCATTAAATAAAAACAAATGCAGGAGATTCAGTGACTTAACTGGAAGTGCAGCAGGTTTTCCACCTCTTAGTAATATGAAAAACCTGAAGACACTGTATGTAGAAAGCTTCTATATTCTCTTTTGGACGGAATATATTATTCTCTTCTTGGTTTTTTGAAGTGATATATATATATATATAAATATTTGATTGCATTGCAGGATATTAAGGAGCTGCAATATTATGGGACAGATACCTGATTATCTTGGAGCAATGACAAATTTGAAAACCTTGTTAGTGGAATTATACCATTCTTTTCCACTCTCCATTTTCATGTCTCTTATTTTCTCAGGGATCTTTTTGATCAAATACTAATCTCTTTTTCGATAGCTCATCAGCTCACTAACTGTTGTGGAAAATTCAAATTAGTAGCATGTTATGAGATCTTGGTAAATTACCTTTCAAATAATGTCACCTAAAATTGCAGAATTCATATTCTATCTATGCATTAAATTGTTAATAAGAAGAAAAAAAAAGAACCAATTCCTGAGCAGTGAGCATCCAAGACAATCTCTAAGTTTCTAACCTGAGGTGTTTTCTTAGACACTTATGATGCAGAGACAGTTAAAATCCTATTGTATTGCAAACTTTAATATTATACTGATTATCAGTTTTAGGCTTTACAGGAATGAAATGGTTTAAAAGAAATTCTCCTGGGATTGTCATTCTAAAATCAACTTCTCTCGATTTCTCTTGCAGAGACCTCAGCTTTAACAAATTAAGTGGAGAAATTCCAAGCAGCTTTGTTTCCCTATCAAACACAGATTACATGTAAGGAATTTGATCCTTAATTTTTTACATTTCTTCTTAAAGTCTTTGATGCTAATCTTTGCTGGCCGATGATGTCGTTCTTGCTGATCCATTGACTTAAATTACCCTGAAAAGCCGTGGTAGAAACCAAGAACTGCCGAACACCCAAAATAACCAAGCATCCTTAAAAGCCACCAAATTAAATTTCTCAAGTAGCAAGGAGAGGATGGTCTAAAAGGCCCCAATTAAGTTTAACCGTTTAAGGTCAATCCCATGGTTAATCATCCTGTTTTACAAATAAATATTTGGGTGTTAGAGTGAAACTTAACAAGAACGTGAATGTGTTAAGCAGAGCAGCATAACCCTTGCACATGGCCTATAGTGTCTTCACTTTCTAAGTTCATTTGGCCTTGTAACAAAAGAAGCAACGGATGGGCAAATGGCACTAGCTACATAAGCCTAAATCAGATTGTTTTTTGTATTTTCTTTGGTTAAAATGAGGATAATTTTTTCATTTAAGTTCTATAGAGGAGGAATTCATCCTTCCTCTTGATGTGTTAAGCCTGGAAAGGCCATGTTAGTGAAGGGGAGGTAGTTACTAATATATAGACCAACCTCTACTCTTAATATATGGTATTTCCTCTCTCACAAAGGAGCATGAATAATGGTCTGATGTTTATGGGTCAAATCAGATTTTGATTTCATAATATTGAACTCCTTGGATTTAATTCAATGGGTATTTGAGTCTCCAAACAGCAAGCGGTCCATTTTGAACTTATTGAATTTCCATTATCACCTATTTTTTTATGGAAGTTTTGACTATATTTCTTATTACAAACTGATGCACTGTGGTTTAGAGAACTACTACAGAATATAATCGGTGATATTGATTTTTTTCTTTCTTTCAGTTATTTAACCGGGAACTTGCTAAATGGATCCATGCCTGATTGGATGCTAAAAGATGGGGACAACATGTAAGTTCCTCTTCAAAGATCATTTACATTAATATTGCCAGTGTTATCTAATACGATCTAGCGAAACATCAATGTACCTTTTCTTTGGTTATTAGGGCAAGGGCTTGGGTGTTTTTGGAGAATAACAATCAGTTTGGTATTTAATGCTTTCTCTGTTAGTTTGTGTGAGGCTGTTCTGCAGTACCTTTTTCCTATTTACCTATAAAGAAAGGAAATTGGGTCATCTAAACTTTAGAAGGTATAGATGGATCATAGGCTCTTCTTACATTAGAATTATAAATACGGAGGTTAAATTTTGATGTGGTTTAATCCCACCACTTGATGAACAACCCAGCTACTACCAAAGGCATTGTAGCCTAATGGTTCTTCTTCGCCTTTTGAAGTATAAGGTCGAGGGTTCAAGTCCCCAAAGGGGTAAAGTGGCTGTGTGAGTGTGTTTCTTGCCAAAAAAAAAAAAAAAAAAAAAAAAATCCTAGCTACTGGTTATGTGTTGCACAACTCAGGGAAAATAAGAAATTTATGTTTTGCTTTGTTTGCAATTACTGCTTAGATATACTGACGCCCGGTAAGTAGAGAGATGAGCTCATTATTATTTATTTTAAGTTTCTTTCAGTTTATCATCTAAAAATGCTGGAAACATAATTCTTATGCTCATTCTCATTCAAGAGGGTCATAATATATGCAGTGATCTTTCATACAACAACTTTACAAATGAACAATCAGGACCTTCAATATGTCAACCACGGAAACTGTAAGATAACTTGCAAGTTCTTAATTTAAGTTATTATTATTTTTCTAAGTGTTTCTTTGAACCAGCTGAACTTTTCCCTTTTTTATTTTTATCAGAAACTTGTTCAGCAGCTCTTCAGCAGGCAATACATCGTAAGTTTTTAAAGCATTAAAAGATTTTCCATCATAAAATTTTCGATCATTTGCATTATGTTACTGAGTATTGCTTCATTTCATTTCCTTGTTATACTGAAAAATTCTAATATGGGATGCTAATTAGTTCCCAATGTCGTGATGATTTTTCAGTGGAATTGTTTCATGCTTGAGAAGTGTTCGTTGTCCACAGAGTAAGTTAAAATGCCATCTACTCTTTTAGATGGTTAATGTCACAAATTCCTTTTTTTTTTTTTTTTTTAATAATTATTTTTTCTTTTTGCTAAAAGAAGGAAATATTTCCTCTAGGTCACTTATCTTACCATAAATCATAATAAAGTTTTCACCTCTCTGGGTTTAATTTTCTTTTATTTAATTTTCTTTATTTCCTTCATCTCTCTCTCTCTTTCTGTGCTAGTAACTAATCATCTTATTTTTTGGTCTCAGTTCTATACTCTTCTTTCCATATAAATTGTGGTGGAAGAGAAGTAACTGTCAATAAAAATACTATATATGAAGATGATACAGATTCAGGTGGACCATCAAGGTTCTTCCAGAGCAGAACTAACTGGGCATTTAGCAGCACTGGTCACTTCTTGGACGATGACCGCCCCAGAGACTCATTTATTTGGACAAATGCCTCTACACTCTCTGTGAACAATTCCGAGTTGTACATGCAAGCAAGACTTTCACCCCTCTCCCTGACTTACTACGGATTCTGTCTGCAAAATGGAAACTACACAGTAAGGCTTCACTTTGCAGAGATCATGTTTACTGATGACAAAACATATAACAGCCTTGGAAGGCGCATATTCGACATTTACGTTCAGGTAGATATTCACATTTTTTTCTATTATTATCATTGGCAAGGTTCGTATTTCGACAGAAAAGAAATGATATTCTTATCAACAATTGGTAGAAGCCTACTTAACTGATACAGATAGGATACTCATGATGTTAATGGGATGAGTAGTCATTTTTTATGAAATAGGAAGCCTCATCTTGTAAAAGTTGTTGTTGTTGTTGTTTTTTGTTTTTTTTTTTTTCACCATGCCAAATTCAAGATTTACTTCTTTTTTTTTTTTTTTTTTTTTTTTTTCTTCAAATCAATTCATATTTGGACTGTACTTTGAGTTTCGCCTGCATCTAAATTAATGTCAAACTGATATCTAAGCCTGTCAGAGCATATAAGTTACAGTTGTATTTAATTAAATATTTGCAGGGAAAGCTGGTGCTGAAGGATTTCAATATTGAAGATGAAGCAGGTGGTGTTGGTAAGGAAATTGTAAGAAAATTTACTGCAGTAGTCACCAATGGTACGCTGGAAATCCGCTTCTATTGGGCCGGAAAAGGGACAACAGGTATCCCTGTTAGAGGTGTATATGGTCCTCTGATTTCAGCTATTTCTGCAGAACCTGGTGAGTTCATCATGGTGTTAATGGTTGGGAACTGCCTCATACTTTGCACAATTTGATTTCAAGTTTTCTTTCATATGTTACACAGTGATTGTAAGAGAGGAAGGTGAGAGTACTGTTTCGTGAAAGAATAAATGGGAACTGAACTGGAATTTTCCCTTTCACTGTTATAAACTTTTGAAGTTTTTCTTCGTATCATATACAATGACCTCCCCGCCGCTAACCGCCCCCCCCCAAAACCCCAATTGTTGGTTTAATGTTTACTACTTCAGGAGATGACCTTAACTCGAAGTCCAAAATAGTGTTTGGTGTTAACTCCATTTTTTGGAATGAATTAGCATTAGATAATGTATATTTTTATGTTCACTTTGTTGTGAAATATTAACAATAAAAGGAGAATAAAATTCTCCTCATCTTTTTCTTTTTCTTTTTTTTTTTTTCTGACTTCTTTGAAATGCTATTAATGGTTGGATGGTTTGTTTCTGCAAGCAGATTTTGTTCCATTATCAGAACATGGAAAAAGTATATCAGCAGGTGCTGTGGCTGGAATTGTGGTTGCAGTTGCATTCATTACCTTCCTGGTTCTGGGAATCCTTTGGTGGAAAGGCTGCCTGCGACTAAATGATACTACGAATGAAGGTATTTCCAAACCAATTAGGCAAACTCCTGATAATTATGAGAAATAGTAATTTTAAGTATCATCATCATATTCTTCCTTTATGAGAAAGCAAAATGCCTTTTTTCATTATCTTTTATAGACAATTTTATCTTTATTAGTGCTGTATAACAGCATATAGATGCCTTTGTAGTACATTGCAGCACTTGAACAATAATTTATTTATGCAAAATATTTGTTTGGATATTTGGCTGTTTGACACTTGGTGCTGCAGCAATGACTTGGTGCTCTCTTTTCTGGCCTTTTAGTTGCAGATATATCCGTTGTGTTAGGATCTAAGTTTAAGATCTGTTTTAAAATGTTAGAAATACTATATACATACTACTTATCTAACTCAGTTTCTTTGACAGATCTGAAGGGTCTCGACCTACAGACTGGTTCATTTACCTTAAGACAAATAAAAGCTGCCACAAACAATTTTGATGCTGCTAATAAGATTGGAGAGGGTGGTTTTGGCTCTGTTTACAAGGTATCCTACACAAGGTTTACTTTCATTATCATGATTATTTTTTAAGCTATAATAGTGCTGCTCTTTCCTTAAAAAAAAATTATCTAATGCAAAAAAATTATTTATTAAATGAAGGGACTTTTATCAGACGGCAGTATAATTGCTGTGAAGCAGCTCTCCTCCAAATCGAAGCAAGGAAACCGTGAATTTGTGAATGAAATAGGCATGATTTCTGCATTGCAGCACCCTCATCTTGTAAAGCTCTACGGGTGTTGTATTGAAGGAAATCAATTGTTGCTAGTATATGAGTACATGGAAAATAACTGTCTTGCTCGTGCTTTATTCGGTAAACTTCAACACATGCCTCACTTTATTGCTTTTGGCATCAGACCACGAAAAGACACACTTTTATACATGTATGCTTTAGCTGATTAGTATGTTTATGTCCCTGTTAATTTGGTGTTTTGAAGGCCCAGAAGAATGCAAGTTGAAATTGGATTGGCCAACTAGGCAAATGATTTGCATTGGTATAGCTAGAGGTTTGGCTTATCTCCATGAAGAATCAAGACTAAAGATTGTCCATAGAGATATCAAGGCCACAAACGTGCTGCTTGATAAGGATCTTAACCCTAAGATATCTGATTTTGGCCTGGCCAAACTTGATGAAGAGGACAATACCCACATAAGCACTCGGATTGCTGGAACTTAGTGAGTCAACAGCTCTAATTCATAGTCAGGGTTTACACATTATTTTCATTCTGCATAAGTTTTTGTCATCATCATCAAATCATTCCAAATACTTACATAGTAGCTTTTTCTTTTTTCAATGACTTGACAAACATATCTATCGATCCCTTTTTGGGTGTTCCCTGTTGAAACGTATGCCCAGTATTAGTTATATTTTATCTAGTGAGAACAATATGTTCGTCATATTTTTTACAACATATCTCAGAGAGTATGTGATACGATATTTATGATTTTACAGTGGATATATGGCACCTGAATATGCAATGCGGGGTTACTTGACTGACAAAGCAGATGTTTATAGTTTTGGAATTGTTGCGTTGGAAATTGTCAGTGGGAGGAGTAACACCAGCTACCGGCCAAGGGAGGAATGCTTTTACCTTCTTGATTGGGTAATTTCATTGTCTTGCATCTATTGTTTCTACTTGTTTTTTATAATCAGTATATTTTAAGCCGTGTTTGTTGTTTAAACAAAGCAGATCAAGAAAATGTTTCTAAAAACTGGCCATTAACCTCATGTGCATAGCAAGAAGCTTGATACTTTATTATAACACATATTAGTTCTTCAAAGATGAATATGGCTTTGTGCGAAACAGGTTGGCAGATAATTTCACATTCATTTCATATCATGTGAAACTTTGGCTAAGGACTATACTAGTACTGAAATCACAATGATATGCTCTTTGTTCAACACTGTCACACTCGGAAACTTCTCTAATTTCATTTCATTGAAACAAAGAGAGCTTTGGTGCTCCTTACTTCCAATCACAATGCATGCCCAATCATTCTTGAATTCTAAGATAGCAATTTTATATTTTCCCTAGGCATGTCAATTGAAGGAGAAGGGTTATCTGCTGGAGCTAGTCGATCCGAGGTTGGGACCAGACTTCAACAAAGAAGAGGTGATGGGGATGATTAAAATAGCTCTGCTGTGTGCTGATGTCTCACCAGCAGTCAGACCTAGCATGTCTTCAGTGGTCAGCATGCTTGAAGGTAAAGCAATTGTTCAGGAGTTGGCTCCAAGTACTCTGAATGGCGACATGAAGGTCAAGGAAATGAAAGATATGTACCAACACAGTCATGAAATTTACATGAGTGAAAGCCAGACCCAAAGTATGTCAGTTGACGGGCCGTGGACTACCTCTTCTACATCTACAGCTGATCTCTATCCGATCAATCCGAATTCTGATTATTGGGCAAACAGAAATTAGATAAATGGTACGTGTGTTGACTGGGTTATCTGTCTTGTTTATCCTTGCAAATGCATGGTACAAATTTCCTCCTTATTATTTTTTTTTTTTCAAATACCTTACGCCATGAAAGCATAAATGCTTCTGAAACTTATGTATAAAAAATTCCATAGCAAAAAAGCGTACGTTTTTCTCTTTTAAGTGTTTGAATTCCATTAGCGAATCAGAGAATGGTATTTTCTTTTGGATGCTTTGTATCAGTGTTATTATTATGAATGGCAGTTGGGTGATCTTTTCTTTAATATTATATGGGAGTTAAGTGGTAGTACTATCTTTAATATTAATATTTGAAGCAAGCCTTTTCTTTTGATATATTTTTTCTTGGAAAATGTTTGTCATGAATTTCTGTTCAAATTTCTTGGCTAAAGTTTTGGTGGTATTGAATTATTCAAAGTTTTCTAATAAAATTTTGAGACTGGAATCTTCATAAGATCTTATATAAATGGTTTAGAAATGGCGGACGCGGGAATATATTGCTGTTGCTCATCCTGATCAACTATTCACTAATATGTTTGCCAAGTGGAAAAAGGTTACAGTACGTACATAAGTGCAAAAAGAATAATTTTAAAAAGTGAAAAAATAAAAATAAAAAGGAAAAAAAAAAAAAGAATAGAAAAATGAGAGAGCTTTGACTGAAAAAAGAACAAAGGATTTGATTGAAGAAGGAATTGTAACAATGTATATATATATTTTTTACTGAAATCAAAGGAATTCGGAGAGTAAAAATAAAAAATAAAAAAAATTAAGAGATAAATTTAGCAATTGAAAATTTTGTAGGGGATTATACAAAATTTCTCATATATAGCATAAAAAATAAGATATATATTTTTTACCTATAAAATTCCAGCCAAACATAGTATTTATAATTTGTATCTCTTACTAATATGAATTCTAGAATTTTCAATGCACGTATATACATTTGTATAAGCATATGTATGTTTATAATAATATCTTAATATATATACACACATTTGTACAAGCATATGTATGTTTTTCTATCGGATAAAACTAGGTAGACAATTATTAAGATTGTGATTGTTTAGGAAGAGAGGGTTTATCATGCATGACACGTGTATAATCTCTTTTAATCCAATAGATGAAGTAGAAAATGAAAAGGTAGATCGGTCATAAAACTGCTCTCATTGGCATATTAATCAAAATTATAAATGTCTTAAAAGTGCCATGGTATCTGTTTTTTCTTAGATTCTCCAAAAATTTGCTTAAAGGTAACTGATCAACCTTTACTATTTGGCCAAAACTTCAAATAATACTAGCACTACAACTAATTTTTTCCATTACTTAAAAAAATCGATGCATTCCATCTATATGTTAATACAAATAGATAGTTTTGGTTATTTGGTTTGTGTGTCAAATTCTTAAAGATTGTTGAAAGATGAAGAAATTCAAATCGATCGCACTTTGCAGCTTTTAAGGTTTTTCTTATTTTTTAATTTTTATACCAAGGTACTTAGATGCACCATTTAAGTTTTTTATTTATTTATTAACACTATGGCAAATGAGTTATTTTTATTAATTTTAATTTAATATTAAGAGGCACCATTTTATAAAATTTGTATTAGGGGCATTTTAGTCATCATAACACCACTTTGCAACAAATTGTATGTTTAGGAGGTTTTATGTTAACTTTTTTCTTCAAAGGCTTCTTGTAAAAAATTTAATGTAAAGGAGTTTTATGCAATTTGCCCAATATAATAGGAATAAGGGCGTTTCCGTCTCAAAAACATGCCGTGGAGGGAGTTTATTGCACTTTGCGCCTTAAACAAAAATGGATTTTGAGTTATATGGCTGTGTGTTTATATAGCATTAATAGTATTGATAATTAATTAACCACTGATTTCACTGATGATGTACATGTATTAGAGTCATCCATATGCAAATAATTAATGTGGAAATTAAGTTAAACTTAATAGTGGGGTTCTCTAGTACTCTTAGGAATTGGTAATAAGGGTTAAATTCCACATCGATCCAACCATTTTTTCATTCTTTCTTTATAAAATCATTTAATTTCTTTCATACATGTTCGCTAAGAGCATTCCTTCTGTATGTATGTGTCGTCTTCCATGCCAGGAGGTCTTCCTTCTCTCTCTCTCTTCGACCATCAAGTCTTTGTCGACCAATTGTGCGACTATATATATATATATATATATATATATATATGTCTTTTTAGTTACATTAATTAGGTCAATTATTCAACAGTCCACTTGTCTCTGGATTCTCTCCTACCCATGCCATTTTAGCATTTGGTTAATTTCATCATCTCATTTTTAGCTCTACCTACTTTACAATACCTTAAATTTTCAAATGTGGAGAAACACTCGATCGATCTAGCTCCTTCCTCTTGAATTTACATATTAGCATCCCGATCAGAACATGTTCTTCTCCCGATGTCGTCTTACTTGTTCAGTTATTGTATTAATTTGCTTGGGCACTATATATATATATTTATATGTTACTGATCATATATATTTGTGTGTGTATAACATTTGTGTTTTCCATTTTTGCAGTGGAATTATTGAAAGAAATAGCAAAGACGCTTGGAAAGACTGATTGGAATTTTAGTGTAGATCCTGTTGTGATTTAAATACCCTGGCATAGAATATTCTTACTTGAATTATAATAACATATATTCCTGACATATCTGAAATATTCATAATTTATAAAATTGGTGAATTCAATGTATTATGTTTCAATTCATTATGGAATTGATAGTGTCCACTTGATTACAAGAGATATTTATATATGTATGTGATGGCGATTAATACATGAATATAAATAGTAATTATAAATTGTTCATAGTCGGTAATTATGGATAGACTTATAATTAATTAAGAATTGAACTGGATTCGCGTCATGTTGAGATATATTGCGAGAGCCGTCGTATGCAATTGCTTCCTATCACCGTCATGGCATTTGACTCTTTTATTAATTAGTAATTACTTTGATTTGTTAGGCGGAATCTTCGGAATCCTTAGACTGGCACTTTGGGTAATTATGTAATTAATAGTTAGAGGGTTATATTTTCAATATTTGCATCATTGCTACTTGTATTTATTTTGTATTGATTATGATTGATCACAAAGTAAATTCGAAGGCCTTCGTGTGTTTTTAGACAAAATGATTTATTATATATTTATTTATTTAAATTATTATTTTTGTCAAACAATTGTTTTATTGTGATTAAGTCAGAAATAATCAAAGGTACCAAAATAAATATATTAATTAAGTAGTTAGATTGATGGCTTTATTTATCCGATAACTAATTGTGCATAGAGCGGTCAAAGTGCAACATTGACTTAGAGGTTATTTATTATTTAATTAGAGTTCAATTAATTTTTTTTAGTGAAGTAGAAATTAATTTATGAATTAATTGAATTGGGTCCATGGACCGGGCAAATTATTAATTCATTATAGCCAATAAAATAATAAGCCCAAAGGATTCTCACTCATAGCCCAACTTGATATTGGAATCCTATTAGATTTGAGACATGTTAATTAGAGATTGAGAATGATTTATTGTTTCCTTTTCTTTATCTTTATATTGCCTTATATATATATATGATCCATGTATATTTTAGGGATGATTTTTACTAGAAGGAAAAAATGAATATATTTTCTCTCTCTAAAAAATTAGGGTTAGTGTTCTCATCTAATGGAGGCTCCCACAAGCCTAGTTTTCCAAGGTCATTCATGGAGGCTTATGAGTGATTCCTAAAGGCAAAACAAGTACCAAGAAGATAGAGATCCAAGGAGAAGGTATCTTGCTAAGGGATCTACAATAAGTGAGAACATTTACTTTAGAGAAAAGATTTAAAGGTTTATTCAGACCTTTGATGTAAGTATTCAATCTATTAATTGAATGAAATATCATATTTTATTTTTGCATAAAACTTGTCTCTTTGTGATGAATCAAGATCTATGAATCAAAATCCCTCAAAAAGTTTTAAAACTTGCACGTTTCCCAATAGTGGTATCAGAGCATGGTTTGATTCATTGCTAGAGATCATGTTTTTATCAAAATCATCATCATGGATCCAAATTATATATATATATATTGATGTATGTTGATGTATGAATTAATATATTAATACATGATGATGTATGTATAATTGTGAATGAATGATGATGTATGTTTGGGGCCATGGATGAAGCTTATAGGTTGATTGAATGTAATTTTATCTTTGGATGAATATAATTAAGACTTTGATTTAGCCGTTTGAAAGTTTAATGATGTAATTTAATTTTTTCCATTGTATTTCAAATTGTAAATTTATTTAAAGCCATGTAATCTTTATTAAATGATGCTATGAAGTTTCAAGAAGGTCCAAGAGGGTTAAATTAGGCTTTAGGAATTTTCTGGGATTTTTTAAAAAAATTTCAGAATTTTTCTGGAATTTTTAGGGCCTAAATTTAATTTTCTGAGAATTTTTATTATTTTTTCTGGAATTATCGACGATTTTTCGACGGCCGGATTGTCGCCGGCGATGAGAACGGCGCCGGAAGGGAGGACTCACGCTCTAGTGGTTCGCGGTGCACTAAAATTGGGTGCAACCGCATAAGGCAGCCATTGGATTAAAAATCAGGGTGAGAAAGGATCCAGTACATCGCGGCAGCTTTGAGCTCCATGCAACACAAAGCAATAAGGCGCGTGATGTAATGACCCATTCCACCACATGGTATGATATTGTCCGCTTTGGGCCTGAGCCCGCACGGTTTTGCTCTTGAGCTTCACCCCAAAAGGCCTCATACCAATTGGAGGTGACACACTTACATATAAGCACTTCACCTTTCCTCTACCCAGGCGATGTGGGATTGTGCACCCGTAGCTCGCCAGTGTGGTAGCCTGACAGTGTCTCTCGCACCCGCCCACGGCACACCCGCCCACAAGTTCGTCACAATCCACCCCCCTTGGAGGCCCGACGTCCCTGTCGGCACACTTCCGGTTGGGTCAGGCTCTGATACCATTTGTAACGACCCACTCCACCACATGGTATGATATTGTCCGCTTTGGGCCTGAGCCCGCACGGTTTTGCTTTTGGGCTTCACCCCAAAAGGCCTCATACCAATTGAAGGTGACACACTTACATATAAGCACTTCACCTTTCCTCTACCCAGGCGATGTGGGATTGTGCACCCGTAGCTCGCCAGTGTGGTAACCTGACAGTGTTATGGTACCT